AAAGAGTAGGGGAGTAACCCCCGCATCCTGGCCAAATTTGCCCCTTGGCCTCTGTCCATCATGGCCTCCTAATCATCCTCATACACTGATTGGCTTCATCACTGTCTCCTCTACACCAGTAAGCTGGTGTGTGGTGTGTGTGTGTGTGTGGTGGGCGTTCTTGCACAATATGGCTGCCGTCGCATCATCCAGGTGGAGCTGCACATTGGTGGTGGTTGAGGAGATTCCCCCTTCTATGTGAAGCACTTTGAGTACCCAGAAAAGTGGTATATAAATGTAACGAATTATTATTATTATTATTATTACAGGTGGGAATGGAGACACTGTGAAAGGACGAGACACTGGAGACGGAGATAAATCCACTTTGTATAAACGAGATCGGACGATGAACTGGGGTGAAGTGAGTGCATTTATAGTGGCAGTGATGAGGGTGATGGGATGTAGTGCAGATCTGTGACAGTTACGATTGCAGAGGTCGTTCCTGCCTATCCTGAGACGACCACGGAGGTCCTCCATGAACTTTCTGCCTGTCCTGAACATAGACTGTAAAAAAAAGATGGACGATGCACCTTCCCTCTCTTCCATTGTAGTAAGTGAAGCCGTCAGTGACCCAATATGGCTACTAACATCTGAAGTGAAGTGGTATCAAGGTCACTCCCACAGAATTGGTTAAGTTTACTGCAGAACAACTCATTAGGTGTGAAATAAACAGTTATGGAAATGTAGAAATTAAAGTTTAAGCTCAAATCTCCTCCTGAGGATCCCGAAAAAACTCTGTTGATGCCTCACTGACTACTTTACTCAGAGAAGCTGTCAATCACAGCTGTCAATCATGGCATCACACTACCCGTTTTTTATAGCATCAAATAACTAACTAAAACCAAACTTATTTAAAGAACGAACTCTTGAACTTATATCAGCGTGATAAAAAACTGCCTAAAATGACAGAAACCATCTTTGGGAAAAAACTATTTTATGTGTAATTTATTTGATTGTTTAATTTTTCTCACATCCATTACGTTACATGGAGAGGGCGGGGTTTATGAGCTATACTGGGACCAGCCACCAGGCGATCAAGACGCGTTGGCAAGACACTTTTCAGGACTCGTGTGGCACACTTTGCCCCGACCCGACCACGGAGGTCACCTATGAACTCTCAGTTTGTCCTGTTATGGCCACAGAGGTTAATCTGAACTCTCTGCCTGTTTTGACACAGCCCTAGAGGCCAACCATAACCTCTCTATGCTCTTTGTTCCAGTTCCACCTGATTAGCCATGGTGGTTTTCTGCTCTGCCATGGTCCGACCAAACGGCAACCTTCTCTTGAATCCACCACGGAAGTGACTTAAACTGCAATTCATCGACTGGCCACTAGAGACAGGCTCCAAAAGAGAGTCAATCCTCACGGCCTGGTGCAAAAAGTGGTTTTGGTCTATATAGCTAATTTTGCCCTTCATGATGACTGTGAGGGGGGTGAATTTTTTTATTTTTATAACTCATCCTTTAAATCATATTAAGCCTTAAAGTTCTGCATAATTAAGGGCGTGGCCACTTGAGTGACAGCTGGATTGCCGCTGATGTCACTACTGGCCGTTTGTCTGCTGTCACCTCAGCTAATCCGAGATTTGGTCCTTACAACAAAAATATTTTCTAACCAATAAAGTAAAAGAAGTGTCCTTCAAAATAATAAATAAATTACCCTGTTAAATATTTTATGATTAAATATAAAAGTAATATTGACACAAGGTGCTCATTTTGTCAAGTTCACACAGAAACTATTTATCATTTATTTTGGTCATGTTTCTATACTGAACAACTATGGAAAAATATTGAAATATTTATTAAAGATAATATCCAGCAAGATATATCAGTAACCTTTAAAGACATTATTTTTGGATACTCTGAGTCTGACCCCAATAAAAAAAAAGCCTGCTTTGTTATTAATTTACTTTATTTTATTGGCAAATTTTACATTCATAAATGTAAATTCACCAATAACAAACCAATTTTTATTGTTTTTTTGAAAGAATTTAAAATGTATCTTAACACTATTTCATCCTCAGTAAATAAGAAAGCAATTAAAACTATTTCAAATTGTAGTGACTTTAATTTGTGTACACTAAATGATGTATAAGATGTTTTACCCTCATGGTTATTACTTTTATTTTTTTCTCTTTTTTTTCTTTCTTCTCCATATCTCTTTTTTAAATTTTTTTATTTGTCTTAGTTTTGCACTGCTATTTTGTATGTTCAGATGACATTCTACATATTATATTTTGTAGTGACATTTGTGTAATTCTGATACAAATTTGTATACCATGTTTGTCATCTCTGTACTGTTCTCAAGCATAATAAAAAAAAAAAAAAAAAAAAAAAAAAAAACCTCAGCTAATCCGCCTCTTTGCCCATTTTCGATCTCCACCAGAGGGCACTCCTTCCACCTGCTTTAGCTCACCGTGAACTACATTTCTCAAAACTCATTGCCTGGACTAATCATATTCTGATTAATCTAATATAATCTATTATTAATCTATAGCCCTGTGTATTAACTCTGACTTTGCGAAATCTTGAATGTTGTTGTTACACTGCATCTCGAGCATTATCCTGGTTTCTTGTGTCTTGGTTTTTTGGTTTTCTGGATTACCCTTTTGCCTGTGTTTTCTGTTGTTCACTTGGATTGCTTGACCTTTTGCCTGTTATATATTCTGGATTGTCCCAATAAAGCTGCATTTGGATCTTCAACCCCAAGTCTCGGAGCAGTTCATAACAAGTCATCACGGTGTTTACAAGGCTAATGGCATATATATATATATATATATTTTAAATGCATTGAATAGGCTTTGTGCCTCCCTACATCTGTTTCCCATACTATTATCTGTTGTAAAAAAAAAAAAAAACTAGTGCTGTCAATTGATTTAAAAAAAAATGACCTAGATTAATCACATTTTTTTCTGTGATTGATCGCGATTAATCGCATTTATTCTTTTTAATTATATTTTATAATGTAATAATTTCACAGTTAATCTCCAAATTAATGTAGAAACAACATAAAGACAGTATATTTTAGATACTTGTTTAATGGCATCTTTTTATGAATGAAGGTCAGTATCAGCTACTTATGTCTCGGTGAAAATGATTTTTTCTCACAATTTTAAACATTAGGCTAATTACAGCCCTTTAACATTACAGTGTAATTGAAAGCTATCAATTTTTTTTAAAACATTTATTAGGCTTAAAAAAATATAACAACTTTTTTTAAGTGAACTTCAAACAATCCTCATAATAAATGTCATATTTACATGTGCCCCTGTCTGACAAGTTATAACGGTGCTTACAAGGCTGAATGGTTATGCTGTTATTTATTAGGACTCCTCACATATTCTGTAAAAATCAGATGGCAGCTGGGATCCGTTTACCATATATTTTTTAAATACATTGAATAGGCATTGTGCCTTCCTATGTCTATTTCCCCTATATTTTATCTGTTGTAACAACAAAAAAAAAAAAATCTTGATTTTTCCAAAAACTTTTTTTCTGCTTTTTGTTGCAGCTGGAAATAAATAATGGCGACACAAAATGGCACTTTGTTGCTTTCAAGTTTCAACCACAAGTTATCTTATTTACATAAGTACAACTGGACCGTCTCTGCTTAATGGAGTGAAGCAGGGAAACATCAAAACTAGTTTGCATTTTAGCACTCCCAGATCCATCGCCCTGAAATTATTGTGTGTTTTATTGGAAATATACAGTATATTTTTGTAGTATTGGGGGCAATCTTAGCAGAATCAAGAATCTGATTCAAGAGACTGTGAAAGCTCTTGGTTAATCGTTGAACATGTGAGTTGAAGTAGTTTTGAAGTACTCGAGACTGGTCTTGGTCTTGATCCAGGTTTTGAAGGTCTTGGTCTCGGTCTCGTCTCTGTCTCAGACTAAGAGGACTCAGTATTTTATTTTAAGACATTGAAAAAAAAAAAAAATTCTATTGAGTTTTTGTGAAGTGACCCAGAGTGATGCAACATCGGCCTACAAAAATGTCATGTATCACTGCTTTATAGTCTCTGCCAATAGTCAAAGCTCTTGTCTCCTTTATTATTGTTTTGGTTGATATTATGTGATGTACGTATGCTTTCTCTTTTGTATGTTCCTGTTCTCAGCATTAAAAAATAAAAAAATAAAAAGTCAAAGCCCTTCTTCTGCCCTATTACATTTAAACCCGGCTTTACTGCCATCTAGTGGTCTTTAGTCTGAACGATTAAGACTGTCTTTGATAACACTATCAGATATTAATATTGTGTAAATATACATATTTTATTTTCTCTATTTTTTATTCTGATGTCTGTCTCTATTGTCCTGTGCATTGGGTTACCAGCACCAAGTCCAAGCTTATTCATTTACATCCCCAATGATGTAATACCAATTTTAGCATTTTTTTCAACAGTAATTTTTTGTTAACCTTTTATCGCAATAATATCGTATCGTGAGTTCAGTATCGTGATATGTATCGAATCGTGACATGAGTGTATCGTTACACCCATAGACTGTAAAAAAACACTGTTAGACTATATACCTTTAAGCAAATGTTATATTTTTACAAATAAAATTAGATTAAATTAGCCTCTAATCAGAAGGAAAAGGCATAGCGTGGAGGAAAATAAATTAAAAATGGCAACAACAGTGGGATAACGCAGTAAAAGTTTATAGTCAATAATACAAAACAGAAAGATATGAATCAGAGAGAGCAGGATAAGAATGTGAAATATGAGACAGTTGGACATATTCTTACATCATGTGAGAAAATCACTGAAATGGTGACTCAATTAGGTCGAATAGTTATAAAACCATGTTAAAAGTATTCTAGAATGAGCTGGCAGTTTACAAGGGAAGATGTAGTAGACTGATTATTCTCGAAAAGACTGGACTGGACAAGCGATTTTTTAAGTTAAGTGTAGGACAGCAGGGGGCAGTAATGCCACGATCCTCCGCTAAACCCCAGCGAAGAAGAAGAAGAAGAGGGAGTGGAAGCTTCTAGACGCCCGAGCTTCGTTAGCTTCTCTTCCTTTATCCCCGTGACTCTGTGTTCAGGTTTCCAGCAGAATGTCCGCGGTTAAAGCACTAAACCCGAAAGCAGAGGTGGCCCGGGCTCATGCGGCCCTGGCCGTGAACATCAGTGCGGCCCGGGGACTTCAGGACGTGCTGAAGAGTAACCTGGGGCCGAAGGGGACAATGAAAATGTGAGTTATTAGTCATGTTGCGCACCGCTTTGTTAGCACGTGTTTGTCACCCAATCATCCGCTAAACCGGTTCAGTCCAACATGTGCTCCGGGATTTACGCATTTTCCCCCGTCACTGCGACATGTCAAAATGCAGTGTGTTGCAATGCTCGGAAAATCTGTTTGTTAAATGAAAGTGTGTGTTTTTGAGACAAGTTTGGACCCACTGGTTGTCAAGAAGTTAGCATCAGTGCTATCTACTCATCGTGACAGTAAACTTGCGTCCATAATTAGCACATCTAACTAGTCTGGAGCTCGATTCTAGTTGTCTGATATAAGTGATTTGTTTAATACATGTTTGCAGTACTTTGGTATCAAGTTTTTAATTGAATGCAGCGGCCAGCCATTTTAATTCAAGAACGCATGAACCCAAATAAACAAATAAAATAAAATGAATGGTTGTCTTAATAAAAAGTCATGAAATCAAAATTAAAAATGCATTTATTTATGAAATGTTGCAGTATTTAATATTAATTATACGTGTAAATTTGTATTGGTGAGGGTGGGGCAACCTGTCAATCACTCTCATCACAGTAATGGCAAACAACAATGATTCAACCAATTTCTGATGGACTAAATTAAAAGGTTAGTTAACCCCCCCCCCCCCCCAAAAAAAAAAAATTAAGTCAGTAATTAATTGTTCCAAACATCTAAGACTTTTGTTCATCTTCGTAACACAAATGAAGATCTTTTTGATGAAATCTGAGAGCTTTCTGTCCCTCCATTGACAGCAACGCAACTACCACTTTGACGCTTCAAAAAGTTTATGAATTAAAGAGATGTAAAACTCAGAAGCTCAAGCATGTTCGCTTGACGTGCAACTAATGATACGCAGCAGGTTTGAGCTTCAGCAAGAGGTTTGTTCAGTTGAGCTTCTGTTTATGTTCGCTGATCAATGTTTATATCTGAATAAAAGACTAAATTAAATCTATTCATCATACAAAAGTGATCGTGTCTCCGCTAAAGCCGCTAAATTCATATGGATTAGTTTTACGATCTTCTGAAATTTTTGAAGCGTCAAAGTGGTAGTTGCGTAGACTGTCAATGGAGGGACAGAAATCTCTCAGATTTATCAAAAATATATAAATTTGTTCCGAAAATGAACAAAAGTCTTACAGGTTTGGAACGACATGAGTGCGAGTAATAATGACAGAATATTCATTGGTGGGTGAACTAATCCTTTGACAAGTCTAGGGAAGTGTTTCATTGCGACTTATAAGGTAACACCAAGTAACTTTTTTTGCTTTAGTTCAAAATCAACAATTTAAATTTCAACACATCATACATTTTTCTTTCAAAACGTGTTTTTGTCTTGGCCTGATTCCTTATGGTAAGCCTATTATAAGTAGGGATGTCCGGATCAGGTTTTTTTGCCCTCGAGTCAGAGTCCGAGTCATTTGATTTTGAGTATCTACCGATACCGAGTCCCGATCCGATACTTATATAATACATAAAAAAAAGAATAAAGAAGAGAGAAAAAACAGATCCAGGATGTTCCTTATTTTTTATTTAATTCACCTTATTTGAATATTCAACAACTCTGTTAACAAACAGAGCACTTCTGTGAGGTTGCTTGAACAATCAAGTAATAAATAACATAAAATCTTCACTTTTGGACTTTAGTGCAACAGTAAATATAGAAAAAGTCTAATATAAAAACAAATAGCACCTCAACTTAAAATACCCAGCAGGCATGTAAACAAAAAAATAAAAATGTTTTAAAAGTGTATAAAAAAATAATGAGAATATATATATATATACATTAGGGGTGTAACAGTTCACAAAATTTGCGGTTCGATGCGATACAGCAAAAAGAAAGAAATGCCAGAGAAATTTCCTATTTATTAAAAGAAAAACTATGTTTAAATAAGTTTGAGTTTTCCTACATCTTGAAACTTTCAGGTTTATAAATGAGGGTAATCTTTGAAGGATGAACAAATAATGTTTTGGTAATCACATTAAAAATAACATTTAAATATATATTTATATAATATTTGAGATTTGAAGTGCAACATTAAATCCATGTTCATTCACGACACAATGTTTCTCCTGGTGTCCACGTCAGCGCTGTTTGATCTAATAGAGTTCTACGGTTAATAACGGAGAAATTTGAATGCTTCTTCTCACTAGATCTTCTCGCAGCGATGTTATTACTTCAGTGGCGAATTCAAATGTTTTCTTCACTGGCTCTCTTAGCCAAGTGTCGCTTGATCTCGCGCTGCACAGATGTTGCTGGTCCGAACTGAAATGGTCCGTTAAGCACAATATAATGAGAAGCGCAGTTTCGTTCCGCTTTTATTACGTTTGCCATTTGATGTTGCGCAACGTTGTGGTGATCGCGCCAGCGCGGATTTTGTCTGCAGGAAAAATGGTCCTAGGAATCGTTCGGTTTGTATGCGTACCGAACCGGAAGCCTCGTACCGAAACGGTTCAATAATTACGAATACATGTACCGTTACACCCCTAATTTACATATATCCGAGTCCTGATCGGGAGGTAACGTCCGATTCCGATCGAGTCTGAAACCACGTGATCGGGCCCGATTTCCGATCGCGTGATCGGATCGGGACATCCCTAATTATAAGTAAGGGATAGTGTACGTCCAGCCGGTGGTTCTCTCAAAATAAACCCCCGACAGGAGGATGAGGACCGTGACGAGACAGTGTCATTCTTATAAAAATGCTTTTATGAAAAACTATTTATAGAAAAAACTATAAAATTTAAAGATGTTTATTGAAAATGTATTATGCAGATTTTTAAATAGTGCATAGCCTGTAGCATGCACTATTTAAATATATAGCCTTACGAATTCACGATATATATAAACTATAGCATCACGATACAGCAATTCTGCGATAATCAATATATTGCTAGACAATCCTATAATGATAAATCACAATTAGTGCTGCCACTAACGACTAATTTTCTAACGACTAATCTTTCGACTAATTTTTCGAGTAGTCGACTTATCTAAACGACTAATTAAAAAAAAAACATTGTTTGTCATTTCGTTGTGTCCATTTTATTTTGAACTGAAGGGCCAAAATATAAAATGTCACCTGTTGAAAAACATTATGTATTAACAATCTAAGCATAAGTATCTGCATTTCCATTAGGCTATACCATTAGTCAGAGTCCTAATCTAATCCTCTATTAACAATCATGCATGTATTCATTACTTAAATTAGCTCTTTGTCCTGCCTTAAATTAATACATTAGCTTACTGTACATTTTTATATGTACATTTCTGAAATGCATAACTGATAACATCACTGTGAATTGTAGGCTAAAGTAAATGCACTCATGCATTTTAGGTAAAGCTGCTTTGAAACATTATGTATTGTGAAAAGCGCTATACAAATAAATTGGAATTGAATTGAAAGAGTCTGGACTAGCCTACTACGCTTAGCTCTGCCTTATAATGAATCGCGCTGAAGCAGGCAGGCACGCAGATATGCAGCTCTCGTTTACACTTGCGTGCATGCCGGGCCCGTGCCGCGGTTCGCGTGAATGTGAATGTGAAAGCAACACGGACTCGGGTGCGCGTTTTAGCTGATTATGTATTTAGTTAAATAAAACACTTGTAAGGGATGATAGTGTTGCTGATTTACCTTGGATACGAGCGAGAGTGAGCCTGCAGTGTATTCGCGCTTAGCCCGTGGAATCAGGGCAACACATTTGGAAAAGTGTCTCCTCAAAAGAGTCAATTTGCAAGCAGCAGACGGCTTATGCGACACACGCACCTGTGTTGTTCACTCAGCTGCGCATTATAGCACAGAATTAATTAATTAATTAATATATATATATATATATAGACCCGCGTTCTGTTTTCTATCATGCGCCGTGTACGTTTGCGATTGCGTAAGATGCACGCAAACACACCAGGGTTCGGTAGAATTACCGGTAAGTTGAGTGTGAAACCAGACCAACGCTGCGGGGGCGCCGGGAACAATCGCGCGCGGGCTCGGACCGCAGCAAACGAGCCCCGTGTGAAAGCACCGTCACCTGCCTCCGCAACTTGTCATATCAAAGCAGTGAAGGCGGGGGAGGGGAAAGGAAGAGGATGGCAGATTAACCAGCAGGGCGCGCACATCGCACAGACTGGTGTGTGGAGGTGAATTACAGTGAGCCGTTTGAGACGGGAGACCAAAAATAAATATGCGGTCAATAGTAAAACGACACGTCGACTAAAAAAATTGGCGTCGACTAATTTGCATGGTCGATTACGTCAACTAAGTCGACTAATCGCGGCGGCACTAATCACAATATCTGTCTAACTATGAAAAGAAAATGCCCATTAAAGGTTAAGCGCAGGTTTTCTCACTTTATTAAAGTCTAAAATGTGAGAAAACGGCACAAAAAGTTTCAGTCAGTAAATGAAACATTGTATGCTTATACTTTTTAAAAGCTTAAACTTTTCTTTGTGTGTAAACTGACACATTTAACTGCTTATCGACTCGTTTTATATAAAATTTACCAACCTCGTTTATCTAAACCTGGGGAAATCTGAGTGTACCAGCTTCCTTAAAGTAAACCTGGTTTATTAGTGTTGTTGAAAGTACCGACTTGGGTATTTTAACATTTTAAAAATGTGACGATACCAGCATTTCCCTCTAGCATTTTGAGCGATGTTGAATGGTTTCTTAAACGCCTCTGATTGGCCATTGTGTTCACGCGCTCAACACTTATGTCTGTGATTGGCTACAATGATCAACTCTTCCAAAACATGTTGTATATATGCATTTTGATGATTTTTACCAAGCGCTTACACAGATACACATGGGAGCGTCTATTTACAACATGTTTGTCTCATCAATGGTATAACTTTAGACTTAAACATGGCTGGGGCATCTATTACTTTACTCACACTTCAATCCGCCATTTAAACCCTCTTTGTCTTAGGCTAGTTAACTTTTGTTCACTTTCCCTCATTCATGTGTTGAGCGTAGGGCTGGGCTATATGGCTGAAAACTGTATCACGATATCAGTGTTTCATATCGGTCGATAGCGATAATTATTGATTTTTTTATGACCCATTTAAAATAAGGACCAGGAGAAAAAATATATTACATTTAAACATTTTTATTTTAAACTTAACCTTCCTCTGATTACAATCCCAAGACAGAAATGTCAACACAACCATGGAAAACTCAAATAATTAAAATGTAAACATAAGTCTAAATTCACAATCAGACCTGCAAACTCCTCAGAGTAAAAAAGGTGACAGTGGCGCGGCGGGACGTGGGTGAGGGGGGTTTGTGATCGTACGGGCCCCCTGCTTGATTTGTTTTTGAGACATCACGGTTCGGTACAATGGAGTGAAAAGCAAAACAGAAATATAGAAGGCATTTTTATAAATGTCTTAAGCCTTGTATTTTTTAAATAAGTTTTATTAATAAAGGAGGCATAGAACCAGTTTATTTATAGTGCACTGTTAATAGTTTTATATAATTGGTTTATTAATTAAACTAATAAAAAGATAGATATGAGATATGTTTGGTAATTGTACCTGAATGAATTTAAAATTAATTTGCTATATTTCAGATTAATATATTTGTTTTCCTTAATTTTAATTAACCCTAACTTTATTCTCATCAGAATTATAAATAATTGATTTCTGAATTGATTTTTATAAAATAATACTACCAACACATTTCATTTTCTTTTTTAATCAATGTGTAACTTAAAAATAAACAGATTAGTTGAGGACAAGAAATGAAAACCAATGCGATATGATGAATGTCCAAAAGATGGAACACACAGACTGTTTTAAAAGGGGGTTGGATAAATGTTTTGCTTTTAAAACAGTGTGTGACAGTTGTAGGTCAATCATTTTCTGCTTATCAATCGCCGGTTACTGAAGAGGAACCCAGCAGCACGAGACAACGATATGGCACAACCAAACTGACACGTTACATGATTGCCTGAGCTTGTCACTCCCTACGTTGCTAGGTTACCAGAGAGCGAGTGCCTTTGTTAATGCAACCAAACTTGCTTTGCAACCTGTGGTTTCTTCCGACGAAGAAAAAAATATCGAACGTTTTATCGAACACATTTTTTTATTGATATCGATCACGTGTTTATCGCGATACATATCGTTATCGTTTTATCGCCCAGCCCTAGTTGAGCGCCACCTTGAGGAGCAATGAAGTAGTGACGCTGGGAGCAGTAAAATCTTTTTAGAGCGCCTTATTTTGTTAATGAAAATGTCGATATTTGGCACCAGCACGCCTATTCTCGTATCCCACGGAGAAGGACGACGATATATCGCCCTATCGAGATTGTGTCCCACCCCTAGTGTACATGCGTGTCGCTCGTGATCCGGTGTTTTCATCATCTCAGAGTGGCAGTCAATGCTGTAAACTTCATCTCTGTAGATGCTGCACCAGATACACTTTCACATTTGCATCATTTCCAACATTTTTAAAGACAGATGATTACGACGCATCATAAAGGCTTGTACACACCGGGACGAATATCGGCGCGCATTATTCGTCAGCGTTTTTCAACGCGTTTTTTGTGTTCACACCCAAGCGATTTTCGCTGACGATGAGCCGAGTGAACATGCAAATTCATTCCCTGACATTAGATGGCGCCCATTTGCTCTGCAATACCACTCCATAACAGTTCTCTTTTATCAAGATTTTTGTAGTCGCTGTCGCGTTTGTCATATAGCTCTTTGTTCCGACACCAGCGAGACCAGCAGCTCTACATTCATCTTCCCTTGCATCTTCCTCGTCTTATTTCTTCCCGGCAGTGTAGACCATAGATATCCATAATAAAGGCCATATTAGGCCATGATTATGGATATCTATGGTGTAGACGCTACTTGGCGTATATCTTCTTCGCCGCTACGTATGTGTGCTCGGCAAGACCGTTTTGTGTTTGAGCGCCCCCAAGTTGTGTTTTACTGTAACTTCAGAAGCTCTAGACACGTGAGCAAAAGCGCCAATCTCATTGGTCGGCTAGTTTTTGACGCGGCGCGTCAAACCAAAAAAACGAACCCGAGGCGTTTAAAAAAATGAAGCTTTTAAACGCGCGCGAAATTCGTCCCGGTGTGAACAGGCCTTTAGGCCGTGTGTCCACCAAAGCGTTTTTAGCCAGCTGAAAACGCTTGACGCTCTACTGAAAACGCCTAGCTGTGGGCGCTTGAGAGCGTTTTGACAGCACAGCGTTTTTTCCGTTGAGACGTTTCGTTGCTATGATACAGAATATCCGCAGCACAGTTTACTTGTAACTGATTTTGCAGATAATTTGTTTCATACTGAAAATTTATTTGTCATCCATGTTGTTCGGTTAGCTCTGCTGGTGGATGTCGTTGTACAGAAAGAATGTTGTGACAGTTGGTCGGTGTGGTATTAGCCCCGCCCCTCCTCCACTGTGATTGGACGGCTGGGTAAAAAGTGACAGTGATGAGCGCTGCGTTTTATCCAAAGTTGAACATTTTTCAACTCTCGGCGACCAGTAAAAACGCCGAGCTCTCAGCGCTTCAGCGTGAAAAAAAACGTCCAGCGCCTCGTTACGCTCATGGCGTTCCAAAAACGCCGCGCTCCCATTGAAAACATACGCCAGGCGCGTGGAAAAAGCAGCAGATTTGTGTTGTCATGCACATTTCCGTTTTACTACTTCCATTTGTCATGAGGCGCGCAGGATAATAGTGTTATGATGAGACATTAGTTTTATGCCCCGTTTACACGAAGGGAAGACGCAGATATTTGTGGTTTGGCCTCTCATTTACACGAAAACCCAGTTTTTATCACAGAAAACGATTATTTCTAAAAACTCCGGCCAAAGTGGAGATTTCTGATAACGCCGGTTATGTGTGGCCGTGTCGACTGGGATAAACGGGGTTTTAGGTTCTCAAACGTCACATGCGCCAGAAAATGCTTAACGTCATGCGAGCGCCCAGTTTGGCAGAGTTATGATGGCGCTCGACGGCGTATTTATGCGGGTTGATGTAAATGACAACTTTTTTGAAAACGATGTTGTGCACGATGTTATTATTGAACAAAGGTGGGGAAATATTTGTTTCTCTAAATACCCGGCTATGTGTAAATGTGGCCTTAAAGCAAAGAAAGATAACTTATTTCAGCAGGCCTGGTGTCCAAATAATTATTGAAGAAAGGGGGAAAAATAAGGGTTCTTAAGGGTGTGAAATAAGGGCCATTTAGTTGTAGTTATATTCACATGAGGATATGTTACGTCAAGAATTGCACGATTATCTAAAAGCTGCAAAAAGTTATTTACATCTTTGCCTGCTCTTACAAGCTGAAACACTTCTTAAAAAAAAAAAAAAAAAAGTCCCAGTTTCCCTTTTTAAATGATGAATACAGACTACTGTTATTTCATCTCACACAGGCGCAGAACACACTTTCTTGTTGGCCTTTGTCTGTCCTCTTTGCAATTTGTTGGAAAAAGTGCGTCCTTTTATCCCGGAGCCTGGCGGTTTAACACGGTTGCCTTTCATCTATGCTAGTTTGACGTGGGCTTGGCGTGTCATAGTCTAAAATCACTGTAAACCACGGCTTTACTGCTTTTGAAAAACTGTTATAACTAAACCTCAGCAAGGTTTTATAAACGCACCAAGCTCTTAATAATTTGATGAATTATAAGTTCTTCAGCAGCGTATGGTTGTCAAGTGCAGTAATAGTGATGTAAGGAGTAGTCCACAGGTGTGTGTTTATAGAGTATTTTACAATGGCTTCAAACACTGCTCAGCCAATCATAATCAAAGACTGGAGCTAAGTAAATGCAGCACACAATAAGCATGGCATCTTGTACATGAATCCTCTTGTATATTAAACCGGTTGTGTTCGTTTCGCAGGCTTGTGTCTGGTGCAGGAGACATCAAGCTCACCAAAGATGGGAATGTTCTGCTGCATGAGATGGTAAGAGCTTTACTACTAATATTTTAGGAACTTTAGTGTCCTAAATTATTGTTACTATGACATTAATTGTCTACTGCCTGTGTCTTAAAGATTGTTCCACAGGTGCAAGTGGAAAAATTGTTTATGGCTTATTGAACAAGCATGAAAAACATTGTTTTCATCTGGACTTCGCCATGTTGTCAATGTCATGATCATGTGACCTACCAATGTCAGTTGCATCACTTCACTATCATTCATAGGGGTGGGGGGAAAAATCGATTCTTAGATGCATCGCGATGCGGACGTGGACGATTCGGAATCGATTCGCAAATGTCAAAAATCGATTTTCAAAATATATATATATATATATATATATATATATATATATATATATATATATATATAATAACGTAATATATTGACGGAACTCTGAAGCGCGGAAGTGCAGTGCCCGGACCGTCTGTGTTGTGCACATAACAGAGACGCGATGACTGAGCGCGATATCCAAACACCGTCCTCGTTAAAAGCTGACGTGTGGAAATATTTTGGCTTCTGTGAAGTTGAAGGGGGGAAAGGAGCTGGACAAGAGCCACACTATTTGTAAGCTTTGTGGAATAAAACTAAAATATTTCGGAAAACACGACAAATATGAGAAGCCATATGACACGTTTCATATGGCCACCAAAGCACATTTTTGTCCCGCCAAAGCCTTTTTTGATCGGTGAGTGATGTAGAAAAAAATGACTGCTGCGCTTGACAGCCGCGAGCAGAGAGAGAGAGGGAGAGAGAGAGAGAGAGAGAGAGAGGGAGAGGGAGAGGGAGAGAGAGCCCCGGCCGCGCGCGCGCACTCTCACGTCTCCAAACAACACGAGCGCTGTCTTGGTCTCTCTCTTCCTCGCGCATATCAAAATCAATTGACATGATAGTAAAAGGTCGGACGGAAGACCGCAGTTTCACGTCGAGCATTTGGAGATTTTTAGAGATTAGAGACTCTAGGCCTACACTCAAAGAACAACATATCACTAAATTATAAAGGCCTGTCTAGTTAGTGTGTTGCATTTTGTCACTGTGTTCTACAGTAGGCTACAGTATATAAGCTGAAGGCTGCTACAGTAAGCTGTTCAAAAATGTTCATTTTGTCTTCTTAATGATTAAATTGGACAATTTTCTTCTAGAAAGACAAGGTGTTCAGGTGGAGAAAACTTTTTCTTTACCTTGACATGTTTCGACTGCAACCTGCAGTCTTCCTCCACCTGAACAACACCTTGTCTTTCTAAAAGAAAATTGTCCAATTTCTACAGTATGTTGGTTCTGATCTACTTCCTAAAGGAAATAAGCCTTTCATTTATTTGTTATTGTTTAGTTCAACTTAATTAGTCACAACACAATGTGATGTATTCATGTTCTACAGAACATAAGCTACATACACGACACAGAAAGTGCTTTGAGTTGTTGTTACTCAATAAAAGACTTTTTTTAATACTGCAATCACTTTGTAGTGTATTTTCATTTACTGTTGTGAAATGGAAAATCAATAATCGCTAATCGAGAATCATTAATAATCGAAAAATCGACTGTAATCGAATCGGGACTTCAATAATCGTAATCGAATCGAATCGGGAAATCGGACAGATTAACCACCCCTAATCATTCATAAATCCTGTCCCATGGCCTCATGGGATGGAAAAGTGTCCATCGTATGCATAAAATCTCACTGGAAGTATTAGGTCATCCGGGTACATTTTTCCTACTCCTTTTATGAGTACTGTGAATTCGAAGACTTATCGTCACATACTATTTTTCGCCTACTATAGAGTAGGGAAGTACGTGATTTCGGATGCGACCTGAACCGACTACATGAATGATGAGCAAGCCATCTCATTGGCTGCAGGATCAGCTTGTGCCCTGCAGTATTGACGTGAGAGCTTGCGGATTGCCAGTAAAGGACCGAGTTTCATGATTTGAACTAGATGTTTATAAAAATGCTCCTCTTTAGAGTTGATTTAATTATTATATACCATGTTAATAAAATGATTACATTAGTCTGGGTGGCGAAACCTCATGTGCTGTAACATGTTAGATGTGTTCGTCACTGTTGCTGACACTATTTGTCTGTGCATTATATTTAGTTTTTTGTTCTGTGAAGGATCATTAGTTCCCTGTTATTCAAGCCACTATCTGAAACCCATATGTTCTTGGTTTCTTTTTCTTTTCCAGCAAATCCAGCATCCCACTGCTTCATTGATTGCCAAGGTGGCCACAGCACAGGATGACATCACGGGAGATGGCACAACATCTAACGTGCTCATTATTGGAGAGCTCCTCAAGCAGGCGGACCTCTATGTTTCTGAGGTGCTTCTCAAATTTCAAAATTTGTCTTTGTCACGAGTCATGTTCCTCATTTAAACCAGTCTTGCACTTGTCTGAAGGGTCTTCACCCCAGGGTAATCGCAGAGGGATTCGAGGCTGCGAAGGAAAAAGCCCTTGAGGTTCTGGAAGAGGTAAAGGTCGTGAAGGAGATGGACAGAGAGACTCTCATCCATGTAGCCAGGACCTCACTCAGAACCAAGGTCCACGTGGAGTTGGCCGATTTACTTACAGAGGTGAGAAACATTGTTTAAATATATAACGTTTTAAACCAGTTATGATGATAGAACAGAAAATCAATTTAACATGGGGAGAAAAAAAGGATTTATTGCTTTTCACTGGAGTTATGCCCATGGCATGTAGATGGAAAATCAAAATGTCCTTGGTATTTACACATTAGAGATTACACTACAGTAAAAACACTGCAAGTTAGGGATCAACCGATATGGATTTTTTTTTGTGCCGATACCGATTTTTTTTTTTCATCAGCCTTAGCCGATGACCAGGGGCGTCATGCAAGCCAAAATTCTGGGGGGGCACAATCTGAGACGTTGCAATTGTTTTCTGACGGGTGATATGGATCATGTTAGGAGGGGTCAGGGGGTTTCTCCCCCTGAAAATGTTTAAATTCTGGCTGCTAAACATACCATTTCAATGCAGTTTGGGAGGGACAGAAATACCTTAATGGAGCTAGCAGCAACACTCTATCTGATTCTGAGGACTAAGTTAAAGTATCTATTTTGTAAGTTTATGTAAAAGACAGGTTGATGAAAGAACTGTAAGCTCAAATTCAAAAGCTTTTGAAGTCTACTTCATTAAAGCATGTTTACACACTAGGGTTGTGCCGATGGACGATATCATCGTACATGGCTGACAGACATCACGATGTTTAGACGGCATCGGCTAAACATCGTGTGTCCCGTTTCCATGGTGACGCTTCCTGCTTGGCACGTGATTCACCACAGCCAAAATAGCGCTGTATGACAGATTTAGCGCTTTTGTTTCTAAATATTAACAAACTTGCTTACCATGTCATGAACTATTTTCTATTCCGATTCTCAAATATGTGTAAGTGAGTTTTTGTCGTTTAAAAAAAACTTTATAAATATCTTGATCTGTAACGTGAGATGGGCGCCGTGTTTGGACCGCAGTTCAGAGATTCCTGTCTGTTGGGTTTATTACAGCGCGTGAATTCACCAGTTTCTCCCGAAAAACATGAAAGTAAGTGGCCGGTGAACTGGGAGAAAACTTGAGTTGACATTATAGTTATTTAATGCTAGACTGTGTCTCTCTGATATGAATAAAAATCGTCGTCAAATATATTTGAATGGGTTGTTATTGCTGCTTCCATAGACACCATTGTGTATTTTACAAACTGTAAATGTATTTTTTTGCTATAGATTATATGTATTTAAATGTCTGAAACCTAAAATAAACATTATGTGGTTAACACTGAACAGTTGTGATATAGCCTATGACAAGCGCTGAGCGCGTCCGTCTTTGGCTCAGCGCCAGCCATAGCGCGAAAGCACGCAGTTTGAATCTGGCAGTGATGTCACTGTACATTCGCTCCTTAGTGCTCAGCTGCTGCAGAGCTGCCGACATCGAAATTGCTGATGAGATTAGGCATGTGCCGGTATCAAATTTTCATGCTGCGATTAATTGATTGAGCTTTTATCACGGTATACGGTATTATCACGATATTTTAATTGCACAAGAGAAACAGATGGATTGGGGGTATCTAAAAAAAACTTGCATCACAATGTGTAATTGTGATTGTCAAAACATTAATTTTATTTTTTAGTGACAACATGATACAATGTTTACATGGTACAGTTACTGAGGCTACTGTTTGTATTATTGCTTAACACAATTTTCACGATTTCAATTAAATTCTTGGATTTAATTTCAATCTTGATTCAATATTGACTCATTTGGATAAATATTAGGTAGGCTACAGTAGATAGCCTGCATTTAAATTTTTCTCAAGAAAAAATATCTCACATAATGCTGTAAACATACAGGGAGAAATTAAATATAATGCATACAATATAAATATAATAATAATATAAATATAAAAATGTAATATGCCGTAATTTTCATTATAATAACAATTATATAATGACAAGTAAACATATATTAAAATATGTAATATAGTGCACATATTTAGCAAAATACTCCTCTCTATAGCTATTTTCTTATAGTCAACTAACATTAAATGGCTTTCCTGAGGTAAATGTAACGTTCTGTGACATAATTGTTATCCTGCAGTTTTATTGACCTCTTTCCGTGGTTGAAAAACACTGATTGTTCGAAAGTACGTACCTTTCGGTGGGTTGTACTGTATCTTTAATAAAAAGTAACAGATGATCGGTTTACTTGAACTGAGGCGCGCGATCTGTCACGTCACATTTACAAGCAGCAAAACAGTATTTATTGTCTGAATTTCGTTATAAAATGGACAGAACCTGAGAGCTGATGTTTTTTTCATATCAAAAGTAACCTGCTCTGTCTAGTCTGTCGGTGTCAGTGTCCTCTTTGCTCCGCGATTTTTCTCTGCGTGAGAAAATGGATGTGTGGCGCGAGACCGTGTGAAAGTGTCAATTGCGTCAGTCTCAAGCTGAATGCGTGAGAGTTGGCAGCCATGCGGGGGATAAATAGTCGGCAGCGTTCCTCCTTCCGCCGTGCTTCTTCTCCACGTGAGGATTGTTTACATTAGACTAGAGTGCGCACTGCATGCACACAGTGCTTATACATGTGATGTGGGGATTGTTTACATCAAATAGCGCACGTGTTTTGCGCAGCATACGCATTGTTTTTTAAGCGGTTGATGGAAAATAAGCTGATGCGCGTTCTAAAAATCTAAATTCGGATCTATTATTTTTCACGGTATTTCGAAGTCCCCGCGATAACAATATCGTGCATATTCATTACCGCGATTTATCGCATTACCGAATACCGGCACATGTCTAGATGAGATATAGAGGAAAATATCTAGTGGAAAATGAGAATATTACGAAAATACCCCCGATCCCGCTCCCGATATCATCATCCATCGCGATGTTTCACTGTAGACATCGTCTGATGCCAAATTGGTAGACATCGCCCAACCCTACTACACATGATTTTAAAAACAGTACCATTGCAGTTTTTATGTTATGATTTTAAATTGGTATGTGACCTAAGAACAATCTTACATTAAAGGTATAGCCTACATAAAGGTGCTGAGGTCTGACTTTGTGGTGCTCTGAAATTAAGTTATTTTAATATTAATATGTGATGAAGGACTTTGAAAGAAGTTTGACAGATTTCAGTGCTGAATAAGGTTAACACTACCCCGTTTATTTGAAAATGGTTAATATTTGACAGAAATGTAAAAAAGTAATCAAATCAAATGCAATATGTATAGCGATCTGTATAACAACTATGCTGTAGGGATTTGGGGGGTAGTCCTACTATGATATTAGACTACATTAAAAGATAATGAATTTCAAACCTGAACCAAACATATTTTTTAATTCAAAGATCAAAGTCTGTCATTAGTCTTTAGTCTGCCAAAAAAAAAACCCCATTAAAATCATGAAATCAAATGTCATTGTGAAAAAAAAAGTGTTATTGTTGTAACAGTGTGTAGGCTAAATCAGACCTTTCAGGCTATAGCCTAACGCTAACAAGCCTCATGGCAAAATTATTATTACAACTAATTTGTCGGTCATTAAATAGGAAAACTAAATAATTTTGTAGATGATTTGCTTTGTGTAGGCCTAACCCGACATCAGACATAAGGCCCGGACAAAGTTTTTTTTTGCACACAGTGACGCGACCAATCAATCACTCCTTTAATGCTGCGTTCACACCAGACGCGAATAGCGCGTCAAATTCGCGCCTACCGCGTCTAGTTATAGCCTACGCGTGAACACTTTGAATCCATTCGCGCGTCAAGAGCAAATGACGCGCGTAAAAAAACTAAAGTTTAGACTGGCTGCCTGCACATTCACTTTTCTCGCGGCTGCTGCAATTGGAAGGGGCTGGCTGCAGGACGACTCAACTTCCACGGACAGTTTTTAATATTTTATATCAAGATTTTGCTTTAGTATAATTTTCGGGACAATTAAGGCTGGATTCGGGACAACAGCTTAGATTTCGGGACTGTCCCGAATTTTTCGGGACTTCTGGTCACCCTAGGGAGGAAAAATCTGAGGGGGCACGTGCCCCCTCACTTTGAATGGGCATGACGCCACTGCCGATTACCGATATGCCGATTTTCTTGAGCTGATATTTGGAGCCGATACTGCTTTTGCTCCCTCAATTTACATCATAAAAATGACAATGATAATAACAAATGTTATAAGTCTTAATTTAAAAAAGGAACTTTTTATTGAATTTTTTTTTAACAAATAGTAAAAACAGCAAATATCGGCCCGATTAATCGGCCGTCCGATATATCGGTCGATCACTACTGCAGTGACATGTTTTAGACTGTATTGTGCTCGTAGCATCATATTAAAGTGTCATCAAGTGCTAAACATGGTAGCAACATGCTAGACACATATTAAACCATGTTAGAATATGGTGTCATACAGTTCGCCAATCACTGCACTTGGCATTTATTTGCATTTCTGAAAGATCAGCCTCTGAAACAAAGTATGGAAAATGATTTTCACAAATTTGATTGGTGCAAAAACATTACTAACTTCATAAGATAACCTCCAGAAACACAAAGATCTGAAAATGCATTTCATGACCCCTTTAATATGATAAAAATGAATTGGATGGGACATCTTTCCCCTGTACATTTACATGTGCTTTGCTTCAGGCTGTGGTGGACGCTGTGCTGGCCATCAGGAAACCCAACGAGCCCATCGACCTCTACATGGTGGAGATCATGGAGATGAGACACAAAACCGACAGCGATACACAGTAAGACTCAGAGAATGGTTTCCTCGCTTGTGTGGATTGTAGGCTCTCCTTAAAGAAAACGTTCTCAAAAATGAAATTGTGAAAAGTGGTAAATTGTTTTGAACATGACATAAGGACTTGTGTAGCACAAAAAGTGAATATTTCGATGAATATCCTGGGCAGTTTTTTCCATATAATGAAAGCGAATGATGGTTGTGGGATCGGGTTGTGCTAAGCAGTGGCGGAGTTTCACAAAAACCTAGAGTACGGCATTCCCTCTGGGCATACATAGAACAACGACATAACCAGACGATATACCTCACATTATACCTTACAAAATGCACGATGCACTAACACGATTACACTATTAATTAAAACTCCCATTTAACAGCTTTAAATATAAAAACACATGCCTTACATTTTTGTTGCAGTGCAGTTTTTATTGCATAAGTAGGTAGTGGCAAAGTCGGTAACAAGTAGCCTAGAAATCTAGACGCACCCTAGCGGCAGCAAAAATTATTTTGCGGCAAAGTGTGGTCTAGCAACTCTCCATAGACTTTTGAGCTGGAAAAAACAAAAACTGGTCCGGCCAATCAGATCGTGTAGAGTTGGTGGGCGGGCTTTACATAATGACGCAGGGCTCCAGACTGCGACCAAATGGTCGCATTTTGCGACTAAAATTTGAGAGTGTGCGACTGAATTTTACATCCAGTCGCACATGTGCGACCAGTAAATTTGCCTCACGTTAAACGCATGGTTAAGCGTGGAAGGGGCGCATCAATGAATCCGGAATGAGTGAGTGTGACAAGAATAGAGAGTGCGCGTGTCTGTGGGAAGGAGACGGAGACAAATATCAAGCTGCTATGTGCGTCTGAGAGCGATCTATCGACTCGTTACCAAGCAGCGAATGCAAACAAAATGAAAGTGGAACGAAAATACGCTACTCATTTATGCTTCACGGACCGTTAATCATTCCGGACCAATAATAGACAGAGCAGCGCATAGCCTTTCTTATGTATATCAATGGAGCAGCGCCCCGAACCATTAACAGTAAAATAAAGACCCGAACTTGCCAGTCGCGGGCTGATCTCGCTCACGCGACACTTACTAGGAGATCCAGTGAAGAAATCCATTGAATTCGCCTCATAATTAATAACATCATCGCTACGAGATCCAGTGAGAAACATTCCGATTCGGCGCAGAGTTCTGTTATAAACCATAGATATCAGATCAAACAGCGCTGACGTGGAAACCAGGAGAAAAACTTATAGAAGGCTTTCAGTCCACAAATCAGCAACATTCACCATGGATTTAGGCTAACGTAGTAAGCAACTCTAACCATAAATATGATAATGTGACAGAAATAGTCAAACGCAGCATACACATCTTTTCTAGCACTTCAAAACTATAATATCATATATAAATGCTTTTTTAAATTTATTTTTTATGTGATGACCAACACATTTTTTGTTCATCCTTCAAAGATTGTCCTAAAACTAAAAATTAAGATGTTGGATAACTCTTATTTAAACACTTATTATTATTATTATTTTTTAAATACCATTGTAAACAGTAGGATGTTTATTGGCTATGTTCACTCCTTAATATAAATTTTCACTCCTTTAGTTTTTTAATTAATATTAAGACATTATGAATGATAATAATAACAAAAGTTAATTTCATCTACACCCTAAATTAAGCTTAGTGATTTATTGTCAGCCCCAGTGCTACCAGAATTTCTCACTCAGTGTGAGTTCTCATTTGAGGTGATGCTGCCCTCAAATTTGAGTCTGGAGCCCTGTGAACTTAAAATTAAACTGCATATCGTAATATCTGTACGTTAAGTCTCTTTATTATTAAAGAATTTGTCAGTATTACAGTTATTTTGGGGGAAATTTGAATAATTGCATTGCAAGCTGATTTAAGGTGTGCCCCTAAATTTTCTGCTTGTGCTCCTAAAATTTTCAGTCAGGGGCAACAGCGCTCCTAGTAAAAAAAGTTAGTCTGGAGCCCTGTGATGGCAGAGTTATGGCGGTTCCGCGTGATTTCCACAGGTGATTTCCCGCTGCTTGAAAACAAAGAAGATGCTGCTGGCGAACAGCGGTCTTTCGAATCAGCTTTGCCCGCGACTCTGGATGACTTGGAGTTAAGAGAACGTCACTTAAGTCATTCCTAAAAAAGGAAGATGCGTTCAGAGTTTTGACGACCGGATACAGCAAAAGTTTAATAATATACCAACTAGCTGGTTCACTGGTGGAAAAACGCATGGGACTCACTCATCCACAACCGTTCGTTGCTCTGGTTGGTTGTAGCGCTATCCTATTGCGTGCCGAGGGATATTGAAAGACAACTGTTTATCCCGCCCCTCGGATTGAGGTATGCCAATTGTGAGTTCCCAGACCTAACATCTTGATGTAGGTCTGGCTTGCCAGGCTAGGTGACAAGCTCGTCCAGATCAAAACGTTTTAGCAACTCTTTCTCCACAGACATGGGCATTAAGTGGCTTAAGCCCAATTTATACTTCTGCGTCGACCTCATGCCGTAGCTACGTCGTAGGCTGTGTTCCTTGAGAAACAGTACTCTGACTTTTAAAGGTCACTGAGGCGATCACGAATAGTGTACAGTTAATAGCTTTTAGGGGGCTGGGTGGAAATGTAGGGGTTAACGCCCTCGTAAAGTCTTTAACGAGCATCATCTTTAGCTGATGTTTCATCTGAACTCTGGCTACTGCCATACGCAAACGTTTGCCAGTTTCATGGTTCACGGAAACATAAGAAATGTCTTTGCTTGAGCTTGAATTTCTGGCCTCTGCTCAAGATATTTATCCATAAAGTCCCCTTGATTTCTAGCCTGGGTTTCCCCGATTTTATTCACGCTGCTAGGCAGTCTGGATACCATGGACCAAATTTTCGTGGGGACCAATCACAGAACAGGGAGGGAGCAGCAAGACGATGACGACGTCTATGCGACACACCGAAGCAGTTTGTTTATACCTATGGATCCAACATGGCAGCAGACGCGAAGTACCTTTCGATGCAGCCTTAGATACATACGCCATCGTGTACACATAAATCTCTGACCCATCGTCTTCTTCCTCGTCTAGTTTCTGTCGCTCTACATACGTCATCTGGTATAATTGAAACGATTGGCTATTAGCTTCGTACAGGCGCATTTGATAGACATTCGTATCACCCAATAAACGGCTCTGGGCATTCGTAAACCACGCCTCAAATACGAGAAAATGAACATGTGGTTCCAAGAACACGTCTCTATCTCAATGAGACATGGTCTGACGTTAGCCAGGCTACTTGATTTCCCTGTAAGAAAAGTAACTCGGGTGTGGGTCAATAGGGGTTGCAGCACTTACATGTACAACTGTTTGGGTTTATTTCTTCTCAGGCTGATCAGAGGATTGGTGTTGGACCATGGATCTAGACATCCTGACATGAAGAAGAGGGTGGAGGACGCTTTTATTCTCACTTGCAACGTTTCTTTGGAATATGAGAAAACGTAGGCTTTACAAATGTTCATATTTAATTCTTTTTTTGTAGGTTACTCGGTGTTGCTAATCATCTATGAATTAGGAGATCTGTAATGAAATGATTGCCTGTTTTCACAGAGAAGTGAACTCTGGGTTCTTCTACAAGAGTGCAGATGAGCGAGACAAGCTGGTCAAGGCTGAAAGGAAGTTCATTGAAGATCGTGTGATGAAAATCATTGATCTAAAGAATAAAGTGTGTGGAGACACTAAGAAAGGCTTTGTGGTCCTCAATCAGAAGGTATTTTAGGTTGTGGAATAAATCATTTTTAATCGATTTATTTACACCCTACTTAATTATATTCTCTAGTCTAAGGCAAGCATCACTATTAGTATTGGCCATACTTGGGGTTAGTAAACAGACTCTTGAATTAAAGGCTGGTCTTTTCTACAGGTTGAGTTCAGCCACATAATCATAGTCATTATTGAAATTAAAATTGGCTTGAGTAATTTGCTTTCGACACAGTGTAACAACCAATGATTAAAAAAAAGCACTACTCACATTTTCATGACATGTAGAAAAAAATATATATATATATTCTTGTTTATGTATTTAAAAGACACCCTCAAACACAATTGCAAAATTACACTTCACCTTCTACATGTTTTCATCAGACAAGTGGAGTGCCTGTTCTTTAACTTTTACAGCTTGCTAATCACTTAGTCTTAACCAAAATGTATTTTGTACAGGGTATTGATCCATTTTCTCTGGATGCTTTGGCTAAAGAGGGGATTGTGGCTCTGCGCCGAGCAAAGAGGAGGAACATGGAAAGGTATGAGAATAATGTTAACGATACTCCTTTAATAATTTATACCAAAGTTGATTTTTTTCTGCTTAGTTAATGTTTATTTATACATGAGAAAATATTAGTTTTGCTACTTGAATATAAATAGAAAACGCATACATTTGCATAATATTTTCAGGCTAAACAATAGGGGCTTTCGCACCGGAGGAACCTTTTCATAGTTCCTACAACCATTGGCGGAAGTACACGCTTTTTGGCGTATTTGCACAGCAGGAACTGGGAACGATGTTAGTTCTAGGAACTCCTTTTGGGGGGAACTAAATTCAGAGCAGGGTCTAAACCAGCACTATACGAACTACCAGTGATGTAAGTGTATGCTGACTGGCCGAACGCACGCAAAACACCAGCACTCGCCATTTAAAAAAAAAAAAGCCGTGTACACACAGATTATAGCCTATACTGAATATTTACTCTACAAACTATCTCTATAAACATGGAAAACAGTGATAGATGGATCTCTTAACATCTACGCTGAGGAGAAAATCCAACGCAACTTTGAGGAATCAATGATTGACCAATCGAAACATGATTACGTATTTCAGGTCGGCCTGCGACATTGGGCGTAACCACACGGCAAACGCTAATAGTTTTCCTATACGGTTTACTTCTTTAAAATGACAGTTTAATCTGATGATAATGTATTAGACATGACTGTTAAGCAGCTTGCAAACACTGTGTGCTCGGGCTCTGGTGTACTCAGCGCTGTCAAAATAAGTCACAACAAGAAAGCACGGCTTACGTCAATTCAGAGTTGCTACTGGTGGTGGAAAATGGCCCTAGAGGAACGCTTAGTTCTCGGGGACCCACCCTGGTGACCCAGTGTGAAAGACCCTATTGCACCTGGCGGCCCTTGACCTATAGACCGAGTCTGTGAAATAATGTGCTAAACCTTATTTCACAGACTATTAGTCACATTTTTTACCATATGAAACGTGCTGTGACTTATTATGCTTGGTTTAATCACTGTTATGATTATGAGAGGGTTCTTGGGGAAATGTTCCAGCCAATATGCCTTACACTATCGAAAAACAACCAGTACAATACAAATTTATACGTTTGTCAAGTGTAACACTTTTATTTATTAAAGGGGTCATATAGTGCCATTTTTGTACAAGCTAGTATGATTCTTTAGGGTCTAAATTAAAAGTTTGTAATATACTTTAATTAAAAATTCTCATTAGTATTGTAAGAAAACACTTATTTTACCTGGTCAAAAACAGCTCTGTTTTCAGCACGGCGTTTCAGTGCATATGACTTTAAATGATCATGAGCTTCGCTCACTCCACCCCTCTGTTCTGCGCATACACCGTTTGTAACACAATAACACAATAACCATAACGCGTTGTTCATTATAAACGTGGGATTATGAATTATATTGAGAACGTCATACATAGAAAACATGTCGTAATGTACCCTGAGTGTAAACCTTAGACGCATTCATTGTGAAGCGTGCAGCTAGCGATTTGCAAAGATTAATATAAATTAATATAAAGTTTAATAAAACGTTACACTCACTTCCGTTCTTCTGGAGGTTCAGCAGGAACACGAATAGTTGCCACCGATTCTTTTTTCATGAGCAGCTTCTTAGCAAAACCAGCTTTATACTGATCCTCGTTTATAAAGCAGTCCACTGAGAAATGATTCGCGCAAACATGAGAGCATTGACGTTGCTCGTGGGGAATATTCCCTTCGAAAACAAACTCAGCCACTGCGTCTTCAGCGGTTCGGATTTAGGAACATTAAAATGACTGCTGTGTTCCTTATTACACCCAAGAACAGAACACCACAATCGCTTAGACGCCATTCTGCTCATAGACAGTGCTCCAGCATATCAACAATGACCGCGCCGGTCCGCGCAGACTATGATTGACAGCTCCCTCACGAGCGAGGGCGGGTCTGTGTTGAAACGCTGCTGTCAATCAACAATAGTGGGAGGGGCTTCCGAGCGTGTGACGTCACACGGTCGAACGGCTTGATTTGAGGCAGGGGAAAACATATAAGGAGATTAAAACAAAAACACTGGATGGATTTTGATCATTATATGATGGTGCCTGTACACAGCACTGCCAACACACATTTCAGTACAATCAACTTGAAAAAGTGCATGTACCATTATATGACCCCTTTAAAACAATGTAAAAATTGTAAAGTTTAAACATTTTTGCAAACTCCGTCTTACTATTCAAAACATGTTCTCTTCCCATAAGGCTGTCTCTGGCCTGCGGTGGCATAGCTATGAACTCGGTGGACGATCTCACTCCTGAGTGTTTGGGACACGCTGGGCTTGTGTACGAGCACACACTGGTGAGTGAACTAAACTCTGAGCAACAGTCTGAATGCCAGCGCACAGTCACTTATGTTTGGCTCTCTGCATCAGGGAGAGGAGAAGTACACGTTCATTGAGAAGTGTGGAAACCCTCGCTCCGTGACCCTGCTGGTGAAAGGGCCCAACAAGCACACGCTCACACAGATCAAAGATGCGGTCCGAGACGGGCTCCGGGCCGTCAAAAACGCCATTGAAGACGGTAGGGAGACAAACCTGCAAACTTTAAAGAAGAACATGATGGATATTACTGAAAAGTAGAGAAAATATCCCATTTCATATTGAAGAACAGTTTTAGAAATCCTATTCAAGTTGACAGTCCCAGTCTGAGTCAGGTGGTGTTTTCTTCAATCTGATTGGTTAAACACTTTTATTCTGAGCATCACACTTTTTTGTCACTTCCTGTGTAGAGTAATACATCATAAGATAGACTAGTTTTAGCATACACTTGTTGAATTACCCTCTGTTTGATTACAACATAATCACGTAAATGTAAAACAATTCCATATGCCTTAAACACTTGCATTGCCACTCATTTAAAGAGTATTTTATTCACTATCACCTCACACCTAAAACAGCTAATGGTAATGCTATCTAGATCTGTGTGGACTATAGGAGTGTTTTCCTCATCTGGTGTGTGTGTGTTTGCAGGATCTGTGTGGACTATAGGAGTGTTTTCCTCATCTGGTGTGTGTGTGTTTGCAGGATCTGTGGATATAGTGGTGTTTTCCTCATCTGGTGTGTGTGTGTGTTTGCAGGATCTGTGTGGATATAGTGGTGTTTTCCTCATCTGGTGTGTGTGTGTGTGTGTGTTTGCAGGATCTGTGTGGATATAGGGGTGTTTTCCTCATCTGGTGTGTGTGTGTGTGTTTGCAGGATCTGTGTGGATATAGTGGTGTTTTCCTCATCTGGTGTGTGTGTGTGTGTTTGCAGGATCTGTGTGGATATAGGGGTGTTTTCCTCATCTGGTGTGTGTGTTTGCAGGATCTGTGTGGATATAGGGGTGTTTTCCTCATCTGGTGTGTGTGTGTGTTTGCAGGATATGTGTGGATATAGGGGTGTTTTCCTCATCGTGTGTGTGTGTGTGTGTGTTTGCAGGATCTGTGTGGATATAGGGGTGTTTTCCTCATCTGGTGTGTGTGTGTGTTTGCAGGATATGTGTGGATATAGGGGTGTTTTCCTCATCGTGTGTGTGTGTGTGTGTTTGCAGGATCTGTGTGGATATAGGAGTGTTTTCCTCATCTGGTGTGTGTGTGTTTGCAGGATCTGTGTGGATATAGGGGTGTTTTCCTCATCTGGTGTGTGTGTGTGTTTGCAGGATCTGTGTGGATATAGGGGTGTTTTCCTCATCTGGTGTGTGTGTGTGTTTGCAGGATCTGTGTGGATATAGTGGTGTTTTCCTCATCTTGTGTGTGTGTGTTTGCAGGATCTGTGTGGATATAGTGGTGTTTTCCTCATCTGGTGTGTGTGTGTGTGCAGGATCTGTGTGGATATAGTGGTGTTTTCCTCATCTGGTGTGTGTGTGTGTTTGCAGGATCTGTGTGGATATAGTGGTGTTTTCCTCATCGTGTGTGTGTGTGTGTGTGTGTGTGTGTGTTTGCAGGATCTGTGTGGATATAGTGGTGTTTTCCTCATCTGGTGTGTGTGTGTGTTTGCAGGATCTGTGTGGATATAGTGGTGTTTTCCTCATCTGGTGTGTGTGTGTTTGCAGGATCTGTGTGGATATAGGGGTGTTTTCCTCATCTGGTGTGTGTGTGTGTGTGTTTGCAGGATCTGTGTGGATATAGTGGTGTTTTCCTCATCTGGTGTGTGTGTGTGTGTGTTTGCAGGATCTGTGTGGATATAGTGGTGTTTTCCTCATCTGGTGTGTGTGTGTTTGCAGGATCTGTGTGGATATAGGGGTGTTTTCCTCATCTGGTGTGTGTGTGTGTTTGCAGGATCTGTGTGGATATAGGGGTGTTTTCCTCATCTGGTGTGTGTGTGTGTGTTTGCAGGATCTGTGTGGATATAGGGGTGTTTTCCTCATCTGGTGTGTGTGTGTGTTTGCAGGATCTGTGTGGATATAGTGGTGTTTTCCTCATCTGGTGTGTGTGTGTTTGCAGGATCTGTGTGGATATAGGGGTGTTTTCCTCATCTGGTGTGTGTGTGTTTGCAGGATCTGTGTGGATATAGTGGTGTTTTCCTCATCTGGTGTGTGTGTGTGTGTGTTTGCAGGATCTGTGTGGATATAGTGGTGTTTTCCTCATCTGGTGTGTGTGTGTGTGTGTTTGCAGGATCTGTGTGGATATAGTGGTGTTTTCCTCATCTGGTGTGTGTGTGTTTGCAGGATCTGTGTGGATATAGGGGTGTTTTCCTCATCTGGTGTGTGTGTGTTTGCAGGATCTGTGTGGATATAGGGGTGTTTTCCTCATCTGGTGTGTGTGTGTTTGCAGGATCTGTGTGGATATAGGGGTGTTTTCCTCATCTGGTGTGTGTGTGTGTGTTTGCAGGATCTGTGTGGATATAGTGGTGTTTTCCTCATCTGGTGTGTGTGTGTGTTTGCAGGATCTGTGTGGATATAGTGGTGTTTTCCTCATCTGGTGTGTGTGTGTGTTTGCAGGATCTGTGTGGATATAGTGGTGTTTTCCTCATCTGGTGTGTGTGTGTTTGCAGGATCTGTGTGGATATAGGGGTGTTTTCCTCATCTGGTGTGTGTGTGTTTGCAGGATCTGTTGTGGCCGGGGCCGGTGCGTTCGAGGTGGCTGTAGCGAACGCTTTGGTCAATCATAAGCCCAAAGTAAAGGGCCGTGCCCAGCTGGGGGTGCAGGCGTTTGCTGATGCCCTCCTCGTCATCCCCAAGGTACTGGACAAACCACAGAACAATGTGTGCGCTGTGTAAATACTTGAATCAACAGTGTAAAGGAGCCTTTGACTGAAGCTTATCTCCTTTTCTTCAAAGGTCCTGGCTCAGAATTCAGGCTACGACCCTCAAGAGACTCTTGTGAAGCTCCAGAGTGAATTCAAGGAGTCCGGACAACTGGTGGGAGTGAACCTGAACACAGGCATGTCTCTCTCTCTCTGTATAAAATACGTGTGTGTGCAGTCAATGTTTAAGATATTGTAGTACTGTAAATCAGGCGTGTGCAGTGGAGCCAATATCTATGTCTGTTAAAATCCCCAAATCAGTTGCATCTGCAATCGGATGAAAACGGGTCTAAAAACACACACATAAATGCAAATCCGAACAAATGATAAAGAATACAAAATGCTTGTCAGCTCTGGGAGAGAGTTAGACGGAAAACATATCATGTATCGTATCATACAAGGTTTGAAACATTAAAATAAAAATTTTCTACTATATGATATGTCTATGATTCAGCATCTTAGTTGATATTACTCTCGTCAAGCTCTTATTTTTGAGAATATACATTGCGCTCATGTCATCCATAGAGCTTACACTAAAATCACTTCACCATACACGTGTGTGAATGAGTTTAAACCGCTATAGCACACTTTCCCCTGGCTAGGGCGGCCCATAAAGATCATTGGGATTGATAAATGCATGATTTGAACTGTTGATCATGATCTAAGTGTATGCTGCTACGGAAGAGCAATGGTTCATTTTAATAGTCAGTCAGAATCTTTTCATTTTAACAAAAAATTCTGAGGTTTGTCATTTTTACCAATGTAACCCTTTTTGTTAATGAACATAAATGTATATCTTCATCCAAACTCCAGCTACTGCTACTGTCAACTCAAGCTACTGTCAGCTGAGCATTTCTTAGAGATGAAACGTAATATTGTTAATAGTGCAGCCTGTGCTAAACACACACGTCAAAGTCAGGAGACACAAACCTGTTTCAAGACTTGAAACAGTGTCACCCGTAAAGATATTTATTTAAACGTGGTGTTTGTCATGTTCTAACAATAAGGAGCAGTTTAAAACTTATTTCTTTTTCTATCAAAATCGACTGATATGAAAAATGTTATCACGATCTTTTTTTTTTGGCCACATCGCCCAGCCCTTCGCCCGGCTGACCCGTTATCCAGCAGTCGAGAAGTGTCTGCCCAGCGTTTCTCCTATTATCCAGTAGAGTTTATTCCCTTTGAAGCCATTATCCATTCCTATCCAAATAAGATATTTGGCTTTGGTGCACATTCCTGTTTATATATGTGTTAAATGTGAACTACTCTCTCCACCTGTGAGCTCATTTCAGATGTTTGTGGTGTTTTGGAAGAGAACATCTGCATCCTTGTCTGGTTTAACATCAGTGTGTTGTTTGTAGGTGAACCCATGGTTGCAGGAGAGGCCGGTGTGTGGGATAACTACTGTGTGAAGAAGCAACTGCTCCACTCCTGGTGAGACCCCAGTATTTCAAAAATGTCTGTCTTGGCGTGTATTCATGCACACATTATCTGTTGTCTTAAATAAATGGTCGGTTAACTGTTGGGGAAAATCTGATGTGTAACATATTACATCCAGGGGTACAGTAGGTCTGAATATATATATATATATATATATATATATATATATATATATATATATATATATATATATATATATATATATATATTAGGCTGTTTGTTATTTATTATAAAATGATAAAAATAAAAATTTCTGAAAACTTCCTCGATTTTTCTCAAAATGGACTTAAACTACCGATTTAGTAGCTCAGTCATTTTTTATTCTGATTCAAACAAATCATACATTTTGAAGATTTTTTTTAAATGGAGAATGTGGAAATAACTCATTTGTGAAAACGTGTTAATTGTGACTCATTTTGCCCGCACTAGTCACATTTAGTTGTATAGCCATATACTTCTCTTGTTAACCATGGCTTGGAGGAGGGCATGTATAGGTTTTACCTGAGGTTAACATGAGGTCAATTACAAAATAAACGGTCTGGACAATTCTCTCTTTCTGCAATGTTTTGAATGAACAGTGCAGCACATCATTAAAACACAACAACTCTTACATCTCATCTCGTGAGCTTCTGATAAGGCTGACTGACACGAAATAAAAATGCACAAGAGTAGAATCAGCCCTCCAGTTCAGACTGGTTATTTCCCACTGTATCACGTGATGGACAACTTTAATGAAGTTAAAAGGTTCCTGAAGGCATCAAAGAGCCTTTTTTTTTTTTTCACCAGTCTCTCTCTCTCTCTCTCTCTCTCTCTCTCTTCTGCACAGCACTGTAATTGCCAGCAACATCCTTCTGGTTGATGAGATCATGAGGGCTGGCTTGTCTTCACTCAAAGGATAGTCCATCATCAGGAAACCCGCCGTCATCCCGCCTGGACTCGAGACCACAATCCTAGGCTGTTAACAACACACTTGTCTGCTCATTGTATGTGTCCAAGCAGTTTTGTCCATTTTCTGACCTAGGAAATGTTACTCCTTCCAGTCAGTTGGTTTATTTAAGAAATTGTTGCATAAGCACTGAATTGCAATACACACTTTCTTTTGTACCCATTAAACAGTTTGCTTTTTTTTTTTTTGTGCGAATTCTTTAGCATGTGTTACTATTCAAATCAAGAATATCCATTTGAGTGCATTACAGTATACAGAAAGATGCTCCAGTACTGTTACTGTGATCGGGAGGAAAGAGAACATATCTTGCTTTCTACATTAATAAAAAAAAGGTAGAGTCCGTGCCGCTAGAAGCTCCGGGTCTCGTAGAAACGGTTTACATGGACTCGTTTTTGTCCATCTGAATCAATCCAGTCACATTTCAGAAGTTCTGTTTAGAAATTAGATCAGATTGTTCTTGCTTTCCACGGTTTAATTTTCAGCAAAATGTGTTCAAGTGTAAATACTTGTGAACATAAAAAGATTCAACAACTGATCAAGATTCAGAGACGTTTGATAAACAGAAATGGAATAATGAATGGGTTAATATCAAAAGTAACAGTAGTATCTGGTGTGGCTTGAAGTACTTCGATTTTATTCAAATATCAGCCCTTTTCAGACAAGAACGTACAGGTATGGGCAGAAATGACCACGGAGACACAGATACATGGTCAATGTTTATTGTTCAAGTGTCAGCTTCTATACATACGCAGACGATGGTAAGGGCGGTATACCTCGTGTCCTTATCGCATCATGACATTTCTTGGCCCCACACCTAAAAACCCATATATTGAGTAATCGTCTGTGTAGTGTGATAGTGACAAGACTACACAAAACATAATAATAGTTCAGCATTTTATTAAATGATACAGATGCTACATTACATTTGTTTTATGACTGCCTTGTGCGAGCTCATTGATCATCTGGATGGTAGACACACTCTTCCTTTCAACTTGCATAAAAACAGCAGAGACAATCTGATAAAACTTGTCACTAAATGTATATTCATTCTAACCTGAAATCTTGATAAAGTGCCAACTCGTTTACTTGCAAACATGCAACATTTGTCTAAAACTCCATCATTAAATGAACATTAACAATAGCCAAATAAACAGTAATCTTGTTGAAAGCCAACATTATTGCAAAGGAGCCAAATTCATTAACTAAAAAATATATATAATCTGTAGTTTTGCACATACTCCTGCTAGACTGATTTCAGCATGGCTGTATTTAAATGGGTTTTGTCCACAAATTCCAGTAAAACTATTTGAAGGGATGTGTGTATGTGTAACAGAAAGCTGAACTGGAATTTGAATGTGGTGTGAAAGTAAAACACAAAGGGTAAATATGAGGCAAATACATTCTGAGAGATGTTCATGATAGTCCAGAAGTGCCCTGGATGAAGTTATATCCTTTAAGCTGTTCATTTACGGTGGATCAGTCATCTTCGTCACTTCCAAAGCCTTCTTCATCTTCCATTTCCACTCCCTGAAACAATCTAGGGCAGAACATAAATAATAAATAAACACACCGCAAATGCACCATCCATTTTAGCTGAAATCAATTATATATGACTAAGACCAGGAATTGTTTTTGCAAAGGAAGAAAACTCAAGAGAGAAAGCTGAACTGGAATTTGAGAAAATTCTAGGAGTTCTAAATTCTAAATTCTTTTTCTAGGAGAATCTCCTAGAAAAAAAAAAACTGGCTAAGAAAATAATCGATATTACAAAAAATAAAAACGCGCAAATATTACAAGATGTGAAAATGTAAATGGTAAAAGTCACTGATCCCATTGACTTGAAGGGATCGTTCACCCAAAAACGAAATATACCCCATGATTTACTCGCCCTCAAGCCATCCTAGGTGTATATGAGTTTCTTCCTTTAGCCGAATACAATCAGAGTTATATTAAAACATATCCTGGCTCTTCCAAACTTTATAATGGCAGTGAATGGTACCTTAGATTTTTAAGCCCAAAAAAGTGCATTCATCCATTATAAAAGTAACCCATACGACTCCAGGGGGTTAATAAGGCCTTCTGTAGCGAAGCCATGCGTTTGTGTAAGATAAATATCCATATTTATCAACTAAAAAAAGGTGCAAGTCAAATTACGGCAAAAGACTAACACCTGACACGTCTGATCTAGGAGTAGTGTAAGCGATGCGTATGGCCGTCTGTTGGAAGCTAGTTATTTTAGTTGATAAAGTTATACATATAGATTTTTCTTACACAAACGCATCGCTTCGCTTCAGAAGGCTTTAATTAACCCCCTGTATGGATTACTTTTATGATGGATGGATGCACTTTTTTGGGCTTAAAAATCTAAAGGCACCATTCACTGCCATTATAAAGCTTGGAAGAGCCAGGATATTTTTTTAATATAAAGGCCTGTTCACACCGGGCCGACGTTTAACGCCTCGTGACTAAACAAAGGGCGCCAATGTGAGTGTGCACACCGACGCGAAAAGCGCCACGCGTAAAAGCGTCATTTTTTTTTAAACGCCTCGGGTTCGTTTTTTTGGTTTGACGCGCCGCATCAAAAACTATCCGACCAATGAGATTTGCGCTTTTGCTCACGTGTCTGGAGCTTCTGAAGTTACAGTAAAACACAACTTGGGGGCGCTCAAACACAAAACGGTCTTGCCGAGCACACATACGTAGCGGCGAAGAAGATGCGCCAAGTAGCGTCTACACCAGGGCTATTCAATTAGCTTCATTCGAGTGCCGGATTATTGAATCGAAAAGTTGAGGAGGGCCGGTGGGTTTAGCTGATTTATTGAAACATTATTTATTACTTATTGAAACATAACCGTATTAATAAATAAGCTAAATTAAACCAAAAAAGTATTGTATTTACTTGGAAATGTGGTACCCAACAGTATGCACATTTATAAGACCATAATAAATAACTTATTTACAGTTGTGTACAAATATATAAATTATACATGCTCATAGCTATTGGTAAGAAATATTTTATTCATAATTCTTATAGGCTTAAATTAAAAATTCTGACACTGAGACTTGGTAACCACAGGTAAAAACCATGCATGGCTACTCATTTACTCACTACCACTATAGAGAAATGCCTAAACACAGGTAAAAACTATACACACAACGAATTATAAATTCCTCTACCCACCTAATAAATCTAATGCAATATAATTTACTATTAGGGTCGGGTATCGTTTCATTTTTAGCGATTCCAATTCCGATTCTGCTTATCGAATCCGGTTCTTATCGATTCGTTTCCGATTCCAATATTTTTTGGAGAGAGAAAAAAGGGCAAATACTTGAAGAATAAATATTTCTACCTTTTATTCTTGCCAATTTTAAGCAATATCCAATAAAATGGCTAAAGTGAAAGGAGTCTCTTCATATAAAGGTGTTGATTACATTAATTAATTCATAAATACTTGTTTTACTGGAGTAATAGTGTTTGAATTAATGATTCAAACGAGTTTTTAAAAAGAAAGACTATTAGACTATACATATGTAGTTGTCTGATGTATGTAATCGTGATCTCCATTTTAAACAAAACAAAAACGATTTTAAGCCACATAGATTCCTGAATTAGGGACCGTTCACATATCGCGTCTAAAAATGCATGGAGAAGCGGGGCCGCGCCGCTTTCTCCTCCTTTCCACAAGCGCTTGCGCTCCCGTGGCGTCTGTCGTTGCTATGCAACCATGAACTGCGCTCTCCATGATGCAGACGAGGGCGTATCAGCAAAGGATTAATTGATTTATAGCGCTCGCATTAGCTTTACTAGGCTACTAGATATATTTATGGAGATGAGAAATAAAAACATGCCCTGTTCAGCTATGATCAGCTGTTTGGCCGAGCTTTCGATGTTACAGAAAGGTCGTTGTTTTTTGTCACATGACCTGCGCGCCTGCAAAAACGAGCGCCACGCACCGCATGCTCGTCGCTTCTATTATGAACGTGCTTGCCACGCGCCTACATTTGAAATAACGAATTTGCAACTGTCCCAAAGTCAGGAATCGATAAGAGGAATCGTAATGCGTGCTTCTTATCGAATCCCCGGTTTTGGGAAATTTGTTACCGGTTCTAAAATGGAACCGGTTCTCGATACCCAACTCTATTTACTATAACTAAGTATTAAATATTCCAAATTTCTGCCCAAACTATGGTAAATTACTACAGTACATTCATGGTAAATGTTTGTAAGGCTGGTGATTAAGGGATTTAAAGTCTTCTAATTCATTCATGGCACAATGTTTCTGCTGTTTACCTCATCAGTCGCGTTGGAATGTTGAGGCTGTTTCATCCGATTTAAAACTGTTAAATCATTGAGTGATTTGTGGCTTGTAACAGACAGGTGTGTTGAATTGAACCGCTTCTCACTAGATGTATCAACGCTGTTAAATAATAGTGTCCGGGACCGGGAGTAAACGCAACTCCTGTAAGCTTGCGTTCCGTTATACACTATGCTGCGAAGTTCAAAGTAAACTTGAGAAACGTTTCTCAGTTCAGTCTGAGCGCTCATGGTACGCAGAATACGTATATCCGTACAGCTGCAGGCGCCACTGCGGCCACGCGCATATCTAAACAAATTTAACCGCACCACCAGGATAAGAGGAGGAGGGCGGTTGGGGGCCGGATGGAGATGATTGGCGGGCCGCATGTGGCCCACGGGCCGCCAATTGAATAGCCCGGGTCTACACCATAGATATCCATAATAAAGGCTAGTTGTCTCGTCTGGGCTGCTGGCCAAATATGGCCTTTATTATGGATATCTATGGTCTACACTGCCGGGGAGAAATAAGACGAGGAAGATGCAAGGGAAGATGAATGTAGAGCTGCTGGTCTCGTTGGTGTCGGAACATAACGAACTATATGACAAACGCGACAGCGACTACAACATAGGACTACTTCTGTTTTACATTAAGCGCCATCTAATGTCAGGGAATGAATTTGCATGTTCACTCGGCTCATCGCCAGCGGAAATCGTTTGGGTGTGAACACAAAAAACGCGTTGAAAAACGCTGACGAATAACGCGCGCGCCGATATTCGTCCCGGTGTGTACGGGGCTTAACTCTGATTGTATTTGTCTGAAAGAAGAATGTCAAACACAGCTAGGAAGGCTTGACGGTGAGTAAATCATGGGCTAATTTTCATTTTTGGGTGAACTATCCCTTTAAGATATTTACAACTATTTTCAGCTCAAGATTGCGATCCGATGGGGATTCTGATCTAATCTCTTCAGAAAATTTGGACTAAAGCGCTCAATTCATATGGTTCCGATTAGATTCGTTTTACGATCTCTTTATGAACTTTTTGAAGCTTCAAAGTGGTAGTTGCGAAGCTGTCGATGGAGGGACAGAAAGCTCTCAGATTTCATCAAAAAGATCTTCATTTGTGTTCGGAAGATGAACAAAAGTCTTACGGGTTTGGAACGACATGACGGCGAGTAATGCTCACGGGTGGCTCTGTTTGTACTCGTCACTTTGCCTTCTTTTGGAGTGGCTTTCACATTGATTTCACTCTGCTACCCTGACATGTTTTAGAGTAATAGCAAAAAATGATGTGTGCCGATCACAAGAAGCCTCGATAAACAGTTTAGGACACTCGCATGTCCTTGTCGGGTTGCTAAGCATTATGGGTAGACTGTGGATGTAAACGCATATAAGGGCTTATTGAAGACAGTATATGAACGACTCACTGGTTATAGCATGGTGAGCTGGGGTTGTTGAAGTGGCTATAGGGGTTCACTCTGCTGAGAGCTCCCAGACAGATCCAGCAGAAATACTTCTGACAGGAGCAACAGGTCATCTTGTTACAGCCATGAACCTTCTGAAGAAACGGGAAACATGAGAAAAGCACTTTCACACATGTTTATAAGGTGTTATGCATGCATTATAACACATTAAGAATACGCTTATGATGCACTATGAATGCAGGCCTTATCTGGTGTTATAATGCATTGTACTCTTAAAAGTTATAACTACAAATAGTGGGTTTATCCCGTTATTCAATAATGTATTGTAACTTATGAATATTTATCAGATGATACAACATATAGGCATTATGCATGCATTATAATGCATTAAGAATACCCTTATGATGCACTATGAATGCAGGCATTATCTGCTGTTATAATGCATTGTACTCTTAAAAGTTATTACCACAAATACTGGGTTTATCCTGTTGTGCAATAATGTATCGTAACTGTTATGAATATCAGATGATACAACATTTTCTATGAAGCCTGTATTTATAATGTATTATAAGGGTATTCTTAATGCATTATAATGCAGGCCTTATCTGGTGTTATAATGCATTGTACTCTTAAAAGTTATAACCACATAGAGTGGGTTTATCCTGTTGTGCAATAATGTATTGTAACTTATGAATATTTATCAGATGATACAACATTTTCTATGAAGCCAGTATTTATAATGTATTATAAGGGTATTCTTAATGCATTATAACACCAGATAAGGCCTGCATTATAATGCATTGTACTCTTAAAAGTTATAACCACAAATAGTGGGTTTATCCCGTTGTTCAATAATGTATTGTAACTTATGAATATTTATAAGATGATACAACATATAGGTGTTATGCATGCATTATAATGCATTAAGAATACCCTTATGATGCACTATGAATGCAGGCCTTATCTGGTGTTATAATGCATTGTACTCTTAAAAGTTATAACCACATATAGTGGGTTTATCCTGTTGTGCAATAATGTATTGCAACTGTTATGAATATTTATCAGATGATACATTTTCTATGAAGCCTGTATTTATAATGTATTATAAGGGTATTCTTAATGCATTATAACACCAGATAAGGCCTGCATTATAATGCATTGTACTCTTAAAAGTTATAACCACAAATAGTGGGTTTATCCCGTTGTTCAATAATGTATTGTAACTTATGAATATTTATCAGATGATACAACATATTATAGGCGTTATGCATGCATTATAATGCATTAAGAATACCCTTATAATACATTATAAATACAGGCTTCATAGAAAATGTTACCTAATGTTTAAATTAAGATTTTTAGCATTTTTGACACTATTGTCCGAAATTCCATATCTTAAATGTCTTATAATCCGTGGTTTATGGATCAGGAAAAGCGCCACATGTCAGAGCACTGTCCACTAGGCTATCGGCCTCAATGTTTTAAATTATTTTCCATTCTGCTGCAGTCCAGCTGTTATTTAACACAAGAATGCATCTTCTGTAATTCTTCCAAAGAGAAACGCATCTGACTGGGATCAGCCGAACTATTCATGGCATTTCATTTCAGACACATTTAGAGAATGAGTGGCATGTACTACTGACCTCTATATGAGAGCCACAGCAAGGGCACTGTTTAGAGTTACTCTTCAGCCAGTCTGTGCTGAAAGACTCCTCCACCGCCTTCTGGATGACCCGCTTCCCAAAACGCTTTTCAAGGAACTTCTTTCCCTCTTCGCTTGCAGAACTGTACTCATCCCGCAAACTGCGAAGCTCGTCTGTTAAAGAAAAGCACACCTTTTGACTAACCAAGTGCCTGTACTTCACATTCTGTAGCAAGACAGCTGGTCACTGAGCATCCAATACATTTATGGAAATACTAATATCAGAATCAGGCAACAAATTAGCCAGAAGTGACTCATTCAATGAATCAGTAACTCAAACCCGTATCTTACCAGCGGTCGCTATGCAGTTGGAAAGGCCGTGATAGCTTCTCTTGCAGAGGGTACAAAAGGCATATCGGCAGGAGGGACAGATGCCCATGGTGGAGTCGGGCTCGACCATCACAGCCATACAGCAGCTCATGCGGGGGCAATACACAACATCGGCCATCAGATCCAGACTGGACTGCAGCAGAAGACGATCGTAGCGGGCAAACTCATCCTCACCCACAAGAAGCTTCACCTATTATCATATGAGCAATGTCCCAAACCATTCATTCAGGTCTCAACACAAACACACTTTTAGCAGACCTCTACACTTTACACAAGTTTAACCATGTGCTCATTCATAAAACACAAACACATCATATAATTAACTCAAGTATAACAATGTGAACTTAATGTTTTCTCCGGGTCCTTCATCATTTCAGAGTCACACTCAGGACCTTCAGGGCCAAATCGGCCGAAAGGGTGGGATTAATATTTATAAAAAAAAAAATCATCTTTTTTTTCTTTTCTTTTTTTTTATAATATTTTTTCTTTTCTTTTTTGGTGTTTTGAGATCATTTCAAAAATAAAAATGATTTATAATTAATATTAATGCAATAATTATGACCCATTTTTTCCCCATTGAATATAATAGATTTTTTTTTTTTTTTAAGCTGTATTTCATTTTAGAGTCAAGCCTAGGCCTCATGAAAGCAATTTTTGAAATAAGATGGATGCCATCTGGTGGACAAACTCTGTATTTTCACATTTTTGCCAATTTCCCATTCATTTCCTATGCGGGTCCATTTGGACCCGAAGGTCCTGAGTGTGACTATTTTTTTTACAACCACTTAGACTATTTAAATCCTGTCCCGAATTTTTTGGGGTGTTTATATACCAAGTACCAACAAAGTCACCAAATTTCGGACCATTCCGATAAAGCTATGATTTAAAAAAAATAATAATAATTAAATGCTTCGGGTCCATTTGGGCCGAAGGACCCCAGGGGGTTAAGACATGTGTGCTGTTTAAGTAGCAAAACTGATGACATACCAATCAGATTCGAAAACGTATCCTACACTGGAGAGCTGAAAGAATCATCTACAGGGTTTTTATACTACTTACACACACTGTATACTACAGGAAAATCAGGAAACAACGTATTTTTGCAAAAAATGAGAGATGACCTCCTAGTCCTAAGGTAGAGAAAGTCTTTTGTCAGAAGACCAATAAACTGTTATAGTACTGTACACTGTAATGAAATTTAGAGAAAGGTGCTGAATTTACTTTATTATTATTTTTTACTATACTGTAATAGACCGTATACTGCAATGTGTTGCATACAGAGTTCATTTTCAAATTCTTTTGGTATTTGAACCTTTCTTCTCTAGTGCTTTTCATCTAATGTAAGATCACTTTACAGTAGTGTAAAGAAAGGATTGTTGCATTTTACTGCATCTGCATTCCTTTATGACATTAAGCTGCAAAATTATTCCTAAATCTGACTAAGATGTTTTTGTTACAGTGTTCTCTAGTTCAAACTAGTCTATGTATTTGTTAGGGTTTGTGTGTCATCTGGGCCAAAGTTTGATTCTGACAAAAGATCATATATTTGACTAAAGTATTTGATTTTGATGTATTGAATTTTTTTTAGCAGATGGTGCCATTTTCTCTGATTTGGCCTATTAAGCAAATACTCACATTTTCTGATTTTGCTGTATTATAAAGCCAATTTAATAATATCATGCAGCTATAATTGTGTGGGTGTGTTGATATGGATGTCTGTGTAAAAAATGTACTGTAGAGAAATGATACTGTACTTACTGCAAATCACAAATGCTGGCATCTAATGGAAAATTTTGGTATTGCACCCAAACAATTATTATAAATCTAAAACCTCTTCTTTTTTAAATAAGTGTTTGTTCTGTGCCCCAAAGCCTTGAGACACATTTTGGTTTTTCTAAGGACCTCTGAGTGACTTTCAAGGGTTTAAAGGGTTAAAAGCAGGTGTAAAATGGCGTCATGTGAGCATTAGATAGGTATTGTGATGTATTGTGCAATATTGAATGAACACGGCTCTATAGGACACTGTTGTAACTAAAGACTACAGTTGGAATTAAGTTTCAAGCAAAGACTGGTACCAGTATATAAAGTGAATTATCCCTGTACAAATAAACAAATCAGATTTTCACCCAATGGTTCAGGGAAAAGATATAACCAACTGTGTTTACAACAAGGATACTCTCTTTTACTATTCTGTGTGTATTTTTCCATTCAAGTATGATAATACAAGAAGGAAAACTCGATTCAGTACTCAGGCTTTCTGTGTGCACACTCTTAACGGTACGTTTACACGACAACGATGTGCTAAAAACTGAAACGTGTTTTTTTGTACAGATGACAACGTTGTCAAAATGATCCCTGTTCAAACGGATCTGTGAAAACGACTAATAAAGCTGTATTATTGATGTCAGACAAGTAGCTGGCGATGTGACTTTATAAAGAAAGACTACGCGCACACACACATACGCGAGCCGAACGCACATGCCTAAATGATCTATCGTGTTTATTGTCCGATTTTCATTCTAAGGATGTTAATCTTGAGAATACTGTATTGTTACTTTGTCTTCTGGGTAAATTTCATCTTCACAAAGCCAGAAACATTCACTGTAATGTAATCCCAATTGTAGAATGTCCTCCTCTGATATAAAGTCCCGTTTTACTTCCTTTAAGAAAATGTCAAAACCTTTGAACACACAAGCTTGGAAAACATGTATCATCCTTGAGTCTGTTGTAAGAAACCTTTCATTTTTCATGATGACAAAATGTTATATTGTGATTTGTGTAATCCTTATAACCACTTGTGATGATGATGATGTCCGTACACCCACCTTGTTATTCCTAGTATCCTTTCATTAGCTTTCAAGGTTATAGACTAAACGCATAATACACATGTGCATGAGGTCACCGTTTTGTAGTTTACAGAGATGATGAGGGCATCGTTTTCAAAAACTTGCACTTTGAATTTTGAAACCCGTTTTCGGGCCCCCAAAATGCTATTTTCATGTAAATAGACGGCCAAAACGCATTAAAAGTCGCGCTTTTCCTTGAAGGGGTGTGCATAAGACTGACATGACACCTTCATAACCATGACATGACATGACATATGTCATGAATATGAGGTAGGGTTTATGAATGTTTATGACAACTGACATTAAGTGTCTTTCGCTCAGTTATGACATTTTTAATGCAAATATGACATTGTTTAAGATGTCTTTGTTATGACATCTTGACATAAACCATAACATCATAACCTGTCAGTGTCTTTGTCATGACAACTTGACATTAAATTAAGTTAAACTGTCATGTGGTTGGTTTTGACACTGGCTGTCATGAGGCCATTATAACTGTGTCATGAATATTTTTATTGACCTCAACTACAGTGGTACAAATTGAATTTGTCATTAAAAAGTTATAATGGCCTCATGACAGCCAATGTCAAAACCAACCACCTGACAGTTTAATGTACTGTTTACCAATAAAGCTAAGTGGTTTCTTAAGTTTGATAATTAATCTGCTAGGTCATGTTTATGACAGGTTGTGTTGTCTTAGTAATGTCAAGTTGTCATGACAAAGACACTGACAGGTTATGATGTATTGGTTTATGTCAAGGTGTCATAACAAAGACATTTCAAACAATGTCATATTTGCATTAAAAATGTCATAACTGAGCGAATGACACTTAATGACAGTTGTCATAAACATGCATAAAACATGTCAAACATGTGTCATGTCATGATTATGAAGGTGTCATGTTAGTCTTATGCACACCCCTTGAAGTAAAGTGTTACCAAAGTCTTCAGTTTTTAGTTGAAAATCGTGTCGCTTAAACAGCCCCTATGAGTCTATCAGACGGCCACGAGTGCCGAATGGAGTTCACTTCTGTTCTGTGTCTTCTTGTGCTTGAAATTGCATTTAAAAAAACATGAACAAATAATAAACTTGCTCTGGATAGTTGATGAAATTTCCACGCATCTTTCAAGCTGGCCCTACATTACCTATTCATAGTATCTATTACTATTCATATGAGCACATAATGACACAATCATAAAAAAAAGGCAAAGATACCTGTGTGGGAGTGGCCAGGGACATACACTTGGGCTCAGGGCAGTTAAGGCACTGAACTTTGCCGTCTCTTATCTGGATCTGAAAGTATTCCTTAATGCAGGCCTTGCAGTAAACATGCTGACACTCTTTGAAGAGCAAAGAGTCGGATCCCAGCTTCTCCGAGTAGCAGATGCCACAACAGAACACCTTCCCGTCGAACACCTTCTGCTTCTGAGCTTCGTCAAAATCCAGCAGCTGAGTCAGTATATCCGTGTGAGGGTCAACTTCTTGAACAGCTCTCGGGTCTAAATCTTGTGCTTTGCTTTTATCTCCAGAAATGTCTTCGGCTTCTTTCTGACCGGATTCGCATTGATGCTGAACGCAAGAGCTTTGGATTTCAAGCGGAGACTGTATTCCCAGGAAATCCAGAGTCTCTTCCTTTAGGAACTGGATCCAGGTAAAAAGAACCACATTGCCTTGGTTCTCCTCCCAAAGCTCATCCAGCCTCCTGCAAAGCGCAGTGATCTGATGGAGTGAGAGTGGAAGATCATCTAAGATTATGATAGAATGCCACATATCAATCACGTCAGAAATACTACAGCAGCAGAAAAGATATACGTAATGTCTGCACCACTTACATTAGGGGCCCTATTTTAATGATCTAAGCGCATGGTCTAAAGCGCACGGAGGAAGTGCACTTAGTGCGTGTCCGAATCCACTTTTGCTATTTTAACGACGGGAAAAATGGTCGGTGCTCCCAGCGCATGGTCTAAAAGGGTTGTCCCTATTCTCTTAAAGGGTTAGTTCACCCAAAAATGAAAATTCTGTCAGTAATTACTCTCCCTCAAAGTTGTTTCAACCCCGTAAGACTTTTGTTCATCTTCGGAACACAAATTAAGATATTTTTGATGAAATCTGAGAGCTGGATCACTCCTCCATAGGCTTCTAAAGGGATCGACACTGACCGGCCCAAAAGTTATGAAAGACATCGTTAAAATAGTCCGAGTGACGACAGTGGCTCAACCTTAAGTTTATCAAGCGACGAGAATACTTTTTTGTGCGCAAAAAACAAACAAGAATAACGACTTTATTCAACTAATCATTTCCTTCTCTGTGGGCCGTGATATTTCACGTAGTGAAACTACGCTAAGCTTCAAGGTTGTACATCACACACATGACCAGCGTCGGCCAATCGTGAGCCTGCGTGTGACGTGCAACCTAGAAGCTTTGCGCAATATCACTACGTGAAATATCACGGCCCACAGGGAAGGAAATGAATAGTTGAATAAAGTCGTTATTCTTGTTTGTTTTTTGCGCACAAAAAGTATTCTCGTCGCTTGATAAACTTAAGGTTGAGCCACTGTAGTCACTCGGACTATTTTAACAATGTCTTTAATAACTTTTCTGGGCCGGCCAGATTCGATCCCTTAAGAAGCCTATGGAGGAGTGATCCAGCTCTCAGATTTAATCAAAAATATCTTAATTTGTGTTCCGAAGATGAACGAAAGTCTTACGGGGTTGGAACAACATGAGGCTGAGTAATTAATGACAGAATTTTCATTTTTGGGTGAACTAACCCTTTAATGAGTAATGGGTGTGTTTTGGGTGTAACGTGTCTCATCTCCCATTCCTTTTAAAAAAGTTGTGCTCACGCCATGGTGGATTTGCTATTTACAGAGGAATGTGCAAGCGGAAAGACTGAACGCGTCTCCAGAGAGCAAACGGATCTGCTCGTGCGCGAGGTTAAAGCACGAACAGACCATCTACGGGACAAGCCGGATTCCACCATATCTTTATGTACACAATAATAATCTTTTACATTGTAATCCTTTTATTTTTAATATTTGGCATGTATTTGTGTGAAGCTGCGCGTCCCTGTGAGTGTACACGCGTTGTGGACCCGCCTATAGGCGCACATTACTAATGCGTCCTTTAAATAACAAAAACAAATACCGCAGTGTATTTCAGTTGCCTCAAAATAGCAACGTGTCAACAATGCACCTGAACACACCCCGCTTTCAGACCAGCCGCCCATGGGCGCACAAACAGGCGCAAATGCATTTGCCATTTAAACAACGTGGCGCAGGATGTGAAAATGATAACTGCGTAGGGCTTTGTTTGACTTCCACTGGTCAAACAAACTGATATCCCCAAACTAACACCATTTACCAATGTCAAAGTTGCTGTGACAGGGTGATTGGGATGAAACCCCCTGGTCCACAATCACTTTCATGATGGTCCGGAAAATCATGAACATTTCTCTGAACTTCTCCTTTTGTGATCCACTGAAGAAATCCATGCAGGTTTGCAATGACAGAGGGAAAATTATGACATTTATTTAGTGAACTATTCTTCTAAAAGATGCTGACTTATCAGTATTTAAACTCAATTAATTGTCCCTGGCTGTTTAAACAAAAGAAAAAGTTACATTTATGCGAGTATGACTAATTGCTTGATGACTGCTTTTTAGACAAATGGACATGGATATGTAATTACGAATTGTCTGGTTAAAAATGCGATTTGCAATTTAAAATGTGTTTTTACTTTTTAACCACAAATGCTCGTCTTGCACTAGCTATGCGACACACATTACGTAAAAAGGTTGAAAGGTCACGCGTGTTCAGGTTAAAAAATGTAGGGTAGGGCGAAAAACCCCATCTCATTTTCTCCTCCAACTTCAAAATCGTCCAACATTGTTGTTTTCTCTTTTATTTATTAAATTTTTTGTAAAGGGCGTTTGACTTTGAACTTTCGCTTTATAAACACTAGGTCGGTATTTCTATTAAATGCGCGACCCTTCAACATGATTACGTAATGTGTGGCGCATCGCATAGCTAGTGGAAGACGAGCATTTGTGCTTAAAAGTATATTATATACTTTTTTTTAGAAAATGACCGATCGTTTGTCTAGATCAGACTCTTATTCCTCGGCTGGGATCGTGTCGAGACTTTGAATCTGCACTGAAGCTGACATTTGGACCTTCAAACCGTCGGTCGGACCCCATTGAAGTCACTATATGGGGAAAAATCCTGGAATGTTTTCCTCAAAAACCTTAATTTTCTACTGAAGAAAGCAAGATATGAACATCTTGGATGACGTGGGGGACGACGAAATGTTAATTCTGAAGTGAACTACTCCTTTACATGCTGCATGATCTCACATTTGTCAGCAGAGAAAAGTGAGCGTCACAGAAAGCTATGATTAAAAACTACAATTTTAAGCAAAAATAACAAAATTACAACAATAACATTACACACATTTCGGGACATTACTAAACAGGACTCACCTGGACTCTTGTGAGCCATTTGGAGCTTAAAGTAAAAACGGGAGACGATACTGAAGGGTAGTCTGTAGGAAGTTCAAAACTCAGAACCAATGGAGGTAGAAATGATAAGTTATACTCTGTGGATTTCTGTCCTGCAAAAAAACATAAATATATAAATATTATATAATAATATATATTTTTTTATAAGTTTAAATATATATATTTAATATATACATATATATATATATGCGCACACAAAATACGACTCCATGAATATGTTAGAACAAGGTCTAAACATCCGCTAAAAAGTCTCACCCTTGACTAGCAGTTTGAAGTTTGGAGGAAGCTCTAGGCACAGATGAATCTCACCCTCCTCTTCGGACTCCGCCTGGTGAAACTCCTCTTCATCATATATGCTTGTTAGAGCAAGCAGTTCATCTTTTTTCGCTTCCTGGTCGGCTGACATTTGAACATTCCTGAAATTAACATGAAATCAAGTGACGCTTATATTTTGTAAAGCATCTTGAGCAATGGAAATACTCTAAATCAGGGGTGTCAAACTCAGTTCATGTCCTGCAGAGTTTAGCCGTGTCGTAATTACCGTCATTTCGTGGCGCTCTATTTAAAGCCGTTCACGTCCTCGGACTGGGAATTATGCAAGTCTATCAACGCCTGAATAAATCTGCAGCAGTCAGGTGGTGGTACAGCGGTTATGTGGTGCTAGTAGGAGCTCTCAGAAACTTCATAGGTAACAAGTTATAATTACAATCCCTAGGAGACCGTGACAGCTTTTTACAAGTTGGAATCTCATAATTACGGTAATTATGAAGTGCCATTAAAGCAATTTTTAGCCCCAACCCGAACAAGGTCTTAAGGATTACTAGAAACTTCCAGGCAGGGTTTTTGGAGTTGGTTGGAGCTTCACTTTCACAGGGCCTGATAGGTAGTTCTTGTTGTGCTTGAATGTTAAAGGATTAGTTCACTTTTAAAAAAACTTTTGCTGATAATTTACTCACCCCCATGTCATCCAAGATGTCCATGTCTTTCTTTCTTCAGTCGAAAAGAAATTAAGGTTTTTGATGAAAACATTCCAGGATTTTTCTCCATATAATGGACTTTGCTGGGCAGCAAACGGTTCAAGGTCCAAAAGACAGTTTCAGTGCAAACTGCAAACTGTTCAAAGGGCTTTAAACGATTCCAGACGATGAATAAGGGTCTTATCAAGCGAAATGATCGCTCATTTAAAAAATAAATAACAAAGTTTAAGTTTTATAAGCTCAAATGCCCGCCTTGCTCTGTTCTGTGATGCACGTTCGTGACTCTCCTGTTCGAATTCGTTCATCAAAATGAACAAATCTTTTTTCGAGTCATTTGGTTCATTTAACGAACGAAATGAACGAATTGACTCGGAAAAAGATTCGTTCTTTTTGATGAACGAGTTCGAACAGGAGAGTCACACAGAACAGAGCAAGGCGGGCATTTGAGCTTATACAACTTAAACTTTGTTATTTATTTTTTAAATGAGCGATCGTTTCGCTTGATAAGACCCTTATTCATCGTCTGGTGTCGTTTAAAGCCCTTTGAACAGTTTGCACTGAAACTGTCTTTTGGACCTTGAACTGTTTGCTGCCCAGCAAAGTGCATTATATGGAGAAAAATCCTGGAATGTTTTCATCAAAAACCTTAATTTCTTTTCGACTGAAGAAAGAAAGACATGGACATCTTGGATGACATGGGGGTGAGTAAATTATCAGCAAAAGTTTTTTTAAAAGTGAACTAATCCTTTAAAATGGCCCTCCTATGAGATGTCAATCACAGCACTGGCCCCCAGCCAATTTGAGTTTGAGAGCCCTGATTTACACCAATCATGATGTTCAAAACACAGGAGACAAATGGGGGATGAATGAAAACGAATGCAGTCAGTCCGTCAGTCTGTTCACCTCCTACAACATCTGAATGTGAAATCAAAATTTAGATGAATTATTGTTCATATTTCTGTAAAATAATAGCATCATGTACATATAAAAAGTAGATATTGGCACAGTAAGTCCGGAAAAGAATCTACTACAACCATTGGAATATGAAAAATAACAATTAGGTCAATTATAGCCTAATGATTCTTTTCCTTTAAAATATTTTAGTACTGTATTCGTATAAAGGGAGGTATTGAACACATCTCACCTGTAGAGAGTCTAGCACCTTATTGTGACCCTACACCAACTGTTTAGAATGTGAATGTTGTTTTGCTATATGTATATAATTTTGTGTATGTTAAAAACTTGTGAGTGATTTGAATTAACGGCTGTTCATCTCATATGTTTTGTACTGTGGGTGGAAATGTCAGATGATCCCTTAGGGAGCATTTCAAACACGAAACTAATAACTTTAACGCAATGTCACCCTACGACTACAGTCCAACTGATTGAGTCTAGTTATTTCCATTTATTATTCATCTAACTTGCGACCCATGAAAAGATATTAACTTGTAAAACACGTAACTTACCTTGTTCTGTGCCTGATGCAACTTCAACAACAACTGCCGCTTCTTCTTCTTTAGGTTTAATGGCGGGCTGCGAACTGACGTCATCGGTGCAGACCGCCACCTACCGTGATGGAGTGGGAAGAGAATTAATTCTATATTCCTATATCCTATTTTTTTAATCCACTAATCCTAAAGAATATCATGATTGCATTCATTTGATCTCCCGCATTTGGACCATTACATCGTATATTTTGAATTATTAAGAATCCTAAAGATTGCAATTCCTTTCTCTTTTATATGCATTACATATAATCAAAACATGCTACACTGTCTCATCTATTAAACAAACATCACATAATGTTATGTAGTGATGATGGACGGTTTCGAAACACTACTTCGTAACCTTTGTGAATCTTTTGTTTCGAACCAGTGATTCGGAGCGCGTATGCAAACTGGAATAGTCACGTGATTTTCAAGCTTCGTTGCGTCATAACTTTTTCGAAATGTCAATGGTTCGCCGCTAGAGGGCGATGGTCCCATTGGTATATGGTATATGTGGTGTATATACCATGTACCATATAAACCATATATATATATATATATATATAGAGAGAGAGAGAGGCCCGTGACCTCTGTGAATGTTTTTCTTTTTACCTGATCTCGGATCAGTTTCATAATGTTGTAGACATTTGTAATTACACATTTGTATAATAAAAAAGGAAAAGCATTCTGACTAGCCACGTCCACCATAAAACACACAAACAAGCCCTAGAAAAGAATAAAATTCAATTCGCATTTATTTGTGTAGGGCTTTTCACAGTACATAATAGTTTCAAAGCAGCTTTACAGAAAATGTAGTGATCTGTTATCACTCGTGAGTGACTGTGTCCATGTAATGTCCATATAAAATAACACATATTATTCAGACACTTATATTTAATTGTTTTTGATGATTTGTAGATTCAATAGATCAAACTTTCAATAAAACATTTGCGATTTGTTTTTAAAAGGTGTTTTAGTTAGGGTGACATTTGTTTGCATTTACACTGTTTGACCAGCAGGCGTCACCAGCGCGCCGTGTTTCGAGCGCTTCGAAACAGTGAATCATTTTGCGAAGCAATCGGTTCAATTGATTCAGAGTTTCGAAAAGATCTCCCATCCCACCTCTCTCGGAACAGGTCCGGAGTCTTCCCCTTATTGAAACCGGCTCCCTGATGCACGTAAATTATATACAATATCCCAGAAATCGAGCGAGCTAGAGAGAAAGCCCTGTTTCCACCTTGTATTAAGATACGTTTTCTGTGAACCGAATTATAATAATGATATTTGACACCCGTCATGTTAAACAAGCCTGTTAATCTTAGATAATTTAAGACTGTGGTGTGGTGTAGGCAGGCACGGATTAACGCACGGGCCTACTGGGCACTTGCCCAGGGCACTGGGCCAGCAGGGGGCCCTGTAAAATGTACTGTCTATTTTTTTCAAATAATTATTTTTATTTTATTTTTATTTTCAGTAAAATTGTGTTAAATATTGAGGAATAATGTGATTTTTTTTGCAGTTGCAAAGTATTAACTAGTAAATAAATCAAATAAATAATTTTAATGTATTGCTGCGCTGTTGAGAAGGACATCTAGAGGCGAGTGAAAAGCATTGCGTAATATAAAAGTCACGCGTAGAAGACGGTTACTCAAAAACCAAAACAAAAATGAGTTTAAAACCACAACCAAGGCAGAACATAGGCTAAGTTGTTTATGTTTTACAATAGTAGCCTATGGGCTTATTTTTTTAACGAAATGTCAATCTTCATCTTTATAACAGAAGATATAATACAATACAACAATCTTCAAGAGTAAATCTTCAAATGTGTAACGGATTGTCACCTTAAAAAGTGTCTTTTGTGGTGGAACAAGCAATGCTATATAGCATCTTAATTTAATCTTTGTTTTATTATTTTAGTTCATTAACTAATTGTTAACTCAACTAATTTAACGTAAAGACCTGGATACTAGAGGCTACTAAATAAAACTAAATAAATGTCAACTAGCCTAAATGCATTGATTAGAATTGCCATTGACTAAAGATTTTCTAGTCAACGACTAGTAGTCATTCCTTTAAGCAATTAGTCGACTAATCTCAAGTTAATATTAATTTCTGCTTAAATACTGAGTGGAGGCATATAGCCTATTCCACGCTCAAGCAAGCGCATGCATAAATATTGCCTCAAAGCACCGGCAAAAGCAGGCTAATGATAATATATGTCTGGAAAAAAACTAGGCATTTTTATTGTTTAATAATAATAATAAATAAATTAATTAAATCAGTGTAGGCTCGGCTGCAATCATATCTATATCTCCGCTGTAAAGTGGATGCGCCTTTAGAGAGAAATGCACCTTTCATATCATATCAGCCTAATCAGCCGGTATTTGCTTTCGATTCGAATTTTTTCGTTTAAAAGTGGACATTTCAAGCTTTATATAGAAATATTCATCATGTATGTGAGGCTATACACTGTGTTTCAGTTCATTTTTGAGACGCGCTCCAGTTCACGCCACGGAGACCATGAAAGCGCGCCCTGTTTGTTTTATTTTATTTTACAAAAGCACAACGTTTTCTTGTTATTGTGAGTTTACAAAAATAAAAGTAGCTACTTGCGACTGATGCATTATTCTTTTCTGTACAGGCCTATGACCAGAAAAGATTGAGTAGGCCTATTTCAAGTTGTTTCCACTGTTGATAGGAAAATGCAAGTGTTGGCGCCGACGCCTGCCATGCAGTGCGCGCTGCACACTCCGCACACGCACTTGGATATGCATTTATCTAGGTTAAAGTTAGAGCGAGCTGCCATGCCAGACGGATAAGTTATTTTCATGTTTAACAAATCAAATCATGCATTTTCTACCTACCGCGAGTAAGCGCTGCACCAGTTTGAAAAAGGTAAAAGCATAACGAGCGTAACGAGCGAGAGGCCCCACACTGGGGGATGCAGAGATGTTGCTGCGTCTGTTATTATTAACATTTCTGATTGTTTAAATGACCAGCCCTCGGGGGTCCCCTCAAAATGCCTGGCTTGCCTGCCCACTGTTGTCCAAAAAATTGGTGAAGGGGGCCTTTGAGACATCCGTGCCCAGGGCACATCATCGCCTTAATCCGTCCCTGGGTGTAGGTATACTTTCTCCTGTCTTGGACCTGGACCAGACATAAAAATATTTTGCATTTTGATGTGAATTACAAACCCATTGCAAGTAGCCTAGCTTTTCTGGGGGGTTTTCACACGCTGAAGAAGCACTCCGTTATTGTCTGGTTGCAGGGTGAATTCAGGTTGTTTGGGACACGTTTTTCCAAATCATCTCAGTGACAAAAGTGCCCCAATTACCCTGAATTCACCCCTACATTTATTGTCCTTTTTTACTGTTTTCCTATTATAATAAATAGTGAATGAACAAGACCTGAATGGCCTATATTAAGATGAGTAATGTCAAAAAGTGGGAGTCATAAAGCTTGTTTAGCTAATATATCAACAATTTCATTGCCATTTTATTATTATTACATGAAGTTTTTTGTTTAATAATTAGAATCTCTGTTTTTTTTTTCAGAATTAAGTAGTAGGAAATTACCAGTCATCCAGTTTTTTATATCAGCTATGCATTCCGTTAATTTTGTGAATAGATAAGTTTCGCCGGGCGTGAAGAAATAAAGAGCTGAGTATCATCAGCATAACAGTGAAAACTAATGCCATGCTTCCTAATTATATCTCACCAAGTGAACAGCAACGGTCCTAGTACTGAGCCTTGTGGTACGCCATACTGAACTTGTGATCGATAAGACATTTCTTCATTTATTGCTACAAACTGATGACGGTCAGATAAGTATGATTTAAATCATGCTAATGCAATTCCACTAATGCCAACATAATTTTTGAGTCTATTTAAAAGAATATTGTGGTCGATGGTATCAAATGCAGCACTAAGATCAAGTAACACTAATAGAGAGATACAACCACGATCAGATGATAAGAGCACATCATAAGTGACTCTAATGAGAGCAGTCTCAGTGCTATGGTACGGTCTAAATCCTGACTGGAAATCCTCGCAGATACAATTTCTTTCTAAAAAGGAACATAGTTGTCTAATAATGCATGAGATAGTATTCAAATGTAATTCAAATGTTTCATGGCAATGATGTTGCACTGGTAAATGGTAAATGGACTGCATTTATAATGCGCTTTCACAGACCCAATGGCCACCAAAGCGCTTTACATATTGCCTCACATTCACCCATTCACTCACTCATTCATACACCGACGGCGGAAGGCACGCCAAAAACAACAACAACCGCATCATGGAGGGTTTTGCAATACAGAGGTTTTCTTATTTAAAACATGACAATGTGTAGCCGCTGGCCTGGACTACTGCGTCTCCTGAGGCAACGGCAGAAACGGAGGAGGCTGGTATGAGTTTGGTATGGTATGAGCGGCTTTATTCAGTGCTGTCGTCTCCACCGGTTTCAAAACATGTCTCTGTTATATTGTCATTTTCTGCTCGTCTGGCACTTTTCGAACAACACAACCTGCAGTAGTGATGAGTCAATTATGAACAAGTTGTCTTACTGTGCGTTCACACCGGACGCGAATAGCGCGTCAAAACAAAAGTTTGAAGCGAAATTTACGCGCGTCAGAAGCGAAATCCGGAGGCGGCCATCTTTTTTAGATGTTTATCGAGCATTAGTATTAGCATTAATCGAGAGAGTCACCGCTCGTATTTGCTCTGGAGAGCAGAAACAGCTGCGTAGGGGACATCGCCACTGTACTCGGATCCACCAGACCCTCCGGAGGGTTTCAGGAGTTTCACCATTTGTTCCAGGAGCTAGGTTTGGTGGACCTAACGGCGAGGACGCTGATGAGGACAGCGTAGGCCGTGTAAAGCCTCGGCCTCGAGTGGTCTATGCCTGTCGAGCCCGCGCTATATCTCTCATATATTAAAATCGAGTTTTTATGTGAAAGATTTGCTTTGTTGTGCATTAGAACCACACCAGACATTTTAGTAATATTACAAAAAAAATGATTAAAATAACATAAACTTTCACTTCACCACGTGACAGCAGCAAACAGGCTCCTGATTGGTTAACGCGGCGCGAATTGACGCAGAAGTTCAAATTTTTCAACTCGGGCGGCAGA